GCCCTGACTTACTTTTTAAAAGGTCAGTCTGGCTGCTGTGTCGCAAACAGAATGTAGGTGGACAAGGACAGACCAGAGAGATCAGATAGGAAACGTACAATAATCCAGGTGAGAGATGATGGTTCCTGGGAGGGACCAGGGCGGCAAGGATGGAAGGTGTTGAGAAATGGGCAGATTCTGAATCTATTTCGAAGGCAGAGCTGACAGGGTTTGGTAACAAAGTGGACGTGTGGTATGAGAAGAGGAATTCAAGGGCGAGACTGAGGTTTGGGCCAAGGGCTGCAAGGATGGGGAGACCATCTACGGAGAAGACGGAGACCGCAAGAGGAGCCTGTCCAGGATGTGAGAGGAGTGGAGGACATGAGTTTGGTTTTGAATGTGGAGATGTTGAGTAGGCAGTTGGATGAGAAGGCAGGAGTTCTAGAATGAGGTCTGGCTGGAGACACAATTTTGGGAGTCGTCAGCAAGTGGATGGTATTTAAAGCCACGAAACCAGATGAGATCACCCAGGGAGTGAGTAGAGACAGAGGAGAGAAGAGGACCTGAGGTGCCCCACCACGTAGAGCTTGGGGAGATGAGGAGAAAACAGCCTCAGATACGGATGAGGAGCAGCCAGTGAGTTATGAGGAAGACGTGTCCCGGGAGCTGAGAAGAGAAACTCTTTGCAGGAACAGGGGGTGATCCACTTGTTAAACGCTGCTGATAACTCAGTAAGATGAATCCTACAGAGCCGGCCACAGGGGCCAGCAACGTGGGAAGTTATTGGTGCCCCTTAACAGGAGCACTGTCGGCGGAGCAGTCGGGGAGAGAGCCCACAGGGAGGGGGCCCAAGAGAGAGCAGGAGGAGAGGAATCGCAGGCAGTGAGCGTAGCCAACTCTTTAGAGAAGAACTGTTGTCCAGGGCAGCAAAAATGCAGCCGGCAGAGTATGAAGGACGAGAGGGTTTTTTAAAATTCTTTTAATGGAACATGGGGAAGATTGTGGCATGTTTGTGTGTTAATGGGACAGCTCACTAGGGGCGGAAAAACTTGATGACACAGACAAGGCAGCGAGAGAAGGGCTGGCTGGAAGGCCGCCCTCAAGAAGACAAGAGGGATGGGATGCCCAGCCCACGTGGAGGGGTCTGCTCCCGGTGGAGTGCAGACCGTCCATCTGTAGACATAGGAGAGGAGGCAGAGGATGTGGGCACACACGCAGGTAGGTGGCAAGGCGGCCCTTTCTAGCTTTTGCTGATCTGAAGGGTGTAGAGTGGCCGGTCATTGCTGCACAGGAAGGACGGCGGCCGGTATCTGTGACACAGGGACCCAGCGCTAAGGAATTCCTGGCGCTTGACGCGGTGCCTCTTGCGTCTGGTTTTTTCCTGGGACGTCGCGCTGTCTCGGTGCCTTGGTGCCCTTGCGTCTCACTCTGTCTGCATTTCCTGTCCTCTCCCACCCACGTTGTCTATCTCTGCGTGTTTATCCCTTTGTCTCTCTGTCTCCCCCCTCCCTTCATGTTTGTATCAGGGCCTCTCCTCAGGGCCTGGTTGTGGGGCCAACTCTCTCGTCCCAGCCAGCGCTTCCAACCAGAACTTCCAGTTCCTGCCTCACAAAGAACCCCATTTTGAAGCCAAGCTAGGGTGGGGCTTCCAGGAACCTCGGGCTGCCTCCATCTCGGATTTACTTATTTAACAAGCACACGAGTGGCCCTGGGTCCATATCAGGCTCTTGCATAAGCGCCTTCCAGTATTAACTCATTTAACCCTCCTCTATGCGGTCGGTGCTACTGATAGCGCCATGGCACATATGGGGACATGGAAGCACGGAGGGTCCTTGTCACTGGAACTCAAGCAGTCGAGCTCCAGAGTCTCAGCTCTAAGCCACCAGGAACGCTGCCTCTTTTTCTTGCCCTCCTTTCCCCAGCCTTGCTCTCTAAGACCCTGCCCCATGAGACAGGACACAGGGACTCGGTCGAGCTGGTGTGTGGCTTTCATCACCTCAGTGCCCTCCGTGGGCTCCCGTCGGTCCTGTGAGGGGGTGGAACACACCCAGCCTGCGGTGGGTCCATGACCTCACTTCCACGGGAGTCAGCCAGCCTAAGTTGTGGCCAATCGTAAGCTCCACTATCAGCGTTGACCCGGCACTCACCCCTCAGCAAATGCCAACGCCGGCCGCCCCCACTCTCGGTTCCAGCCCTCCCGAGTGAGAAAGGCTTCTGTGGCATTGCAGACCCGGGCCATGAGAAGGCACAGGTACCCTGTCTTCCCACACAGGCCTGTCACCTCACTTAACCCAGCTTCCTCCCTCTCGCCACCCAGCCTGAACCCAACCCCACTAGAAAAGAGTGAACGTAGCATCCGTCCTGGGCCCAGCCCTGTGAGGTGGGGGAATTCCAAAGTGGGGAAGGACCATTGCTTTTCTTTCACCTTGAGAGGAGTTCACAGCCATGACCCAGCCCACTCCCAGCAAACCCTGCTGAGCACCGCCACTGACACGCAACCTCATGCCCCGTCCTCGCCGTCCGTGCCGACGCACAAAACCGATTCCACGGCATTTCAACACCTCCCCATCCGAAACATTAGTCTTGGCCCCATCTTCAGCCCCATCCCGGCAGGACTGCATCAACAACCTTACCGCCGGAGCCCTCGCAAGTACAACTCAATCCTCTCCCCCAAACCAACTTTAACCCTATGCCCCCTGCACATCCGTTCTCCTCCCAAAACTCACTTGCAGTCCCAAGGCTGTCCTCAGACCCACCCTAAACCTGACCACGAACTTTTCTCCCTAGTGTATGGAGAAATGATTGATGAACAGGTGTCTTCGATGGAAAACTAGATGGGTTAGCTGGTTTTGAGGAATCTCTGCTCCTTTTCCTGTCTTTGAGCTGCTTAGCAACTCTAAATTACAGCTAGCCAATAGCAATGCGAAGAATTCTTGGCCACAACTATGCAAATAAGTTTGGTCAGGTAGAAATACAATCCCCCCTTCATACAGAATAAGACAATTTTACATCTATGTATAAATTCATCTCAGCATTCCTTATTGCCTCTATCTGTAGTTCTTTGTACCATCATTTATTTTCATGAATCAAAATAAAATTAATTTTTATTGATTTGGAGAGAGAGAGAGAAAGGGGGAGAGAGAGAGAGAGAGAAACAGAGATCTGTCGTTCAACTCATTGGCGCATTCTTGGCGTCTCAGGACGATGCTCTTACCAACTGAGCTACCCGGCCAGGTCAAAATAAAAGCTTAGGCCTATGTTCATTTTATTTATGGAGGAGAGTCACGGTTAGATTCTTTCGAAAAAATTCTCTTTTACCGCCAGTCTTGGTGCCTATATCCGAGCGTTAACTTTCCCTAACACGGACTGCACCGACTCTGGATTCTGACGTTCCCATCCCCTCGCTCTGGCTCAGCCCCTTATCCTCACCCTGACACCACTGCTCTCTGCGCGTCAGCTGGCCCCCATCCCTGGCCTTCTTCCTAATGCTGACCCCACCTCTACCCTCCCTAATCCCTAATCCTACCCCCTCCACCCCCTAGGATTAACTCACAGCCCCGCCCCATCACATGTCCAAGAGACTCCTACTCGTTCCCAAAACACCCTCTTCCTCCTTCCTCTTCCCTCGTTCCAGCCCCTTGGGCGTCTCCCTCTTCACCTCCATGCCCACGGACTCCCTCACCCCACCTGGCCCTGCTCCCCAAAGGCCATTTATCCAAAGCACTGCCCCGTCCATGCCCCCGACCGCGTTCAAGGACAGCTGACATCCGATCACCTATCTGAAGATGACCTCCCAGGGCCTCCTGGTTGGGGGTGGGAGTGGGAAGGGCAAAATGGTAGAGTAAGTTCGGGCCTCCCGTGTTTTCTGAAGAAAGTGGGCTAGAGACGGCGTTGGGCTGGAGAGGAGGCCAAGAGCCGGGATTTAGACCTGTTGTGTTTGGTGCCGAGAGATAAGGGTGAGAGGAGGCACTGCTGGTGGCACTGGTTTTGAGGGCTAGGCCAGGAGGCAAGGGGGTGCATGGTGGAAGTTGGGCAGAGAGGGCGCGAAGAGGGCAGAAAATGGCCTTCCGGCAGCTGACGTCTATGACGAATGCGCACAGGCTTGGAGTGGAGATTGGAACGCGGGTTCTGTTGCAAGAAGAGGGTCATGGGGATTTAGGGTGGGTTTGGGGAAGGAAGTGATGGGCTTTCTCCTTCCTCCTAGGTGGGTCCTGCTGCCTCAGGGTTCACAGTGGGTTCAACGGGCGCTTGGGCGGGGCCAAATCTGGGTCCCAGCTTGTCCTGAAAGCTCCACCCCCAAGCAGAGGGCCAAGCCCAGGCTGGGGGGTGCCTGGCACAGCCTGCTGAGCCATCGGGGGTGGAGAGGGGTAGGCCAGCAACCGGAAAACGCTGAGGGCGCTGGGGGAGGGAGTTCAGGGGTTAAAAGGCATGGGTCGGGGCTGAAGTTGGAGGCAGCTGGCTGCAGCTCTTCACCCAGGCCCCTCACCCAGGTAGGGTCTGGCTGGGGCAGGGGCTGGAGCCATGGAGGAGGAGGAGGAGAGGAGAAGGAGAGAGAGGGAACGAAGCTGAGTCAGGGAGATGGAGCGGGCACCCAGCGGCTCAGTTATAGATAGAAATCTGCAGACAGGGAACTGGAGCCGCAAAAAGATAAGCAGCTCAGTTTAAGACCAGGTGTCAGAACCAAGCGCGGGACAGGAGACGGTGGACAGAGCGAGGGGCGGGGGAGTGCACCCCGGACCCTGCTTGCGGGAGAGCAGGGGCAGAAGGCTGGCCGCGCGGGTGGAGGGGCAGCAAGCCAGTGCCCGAGGGGTGCACTCCGCCCCGCAGGACGGATTGTGGCGGCGCGGCGGGCGGGGGGGGGGCGGTTCTCGAGGTGAAGGAAGGAGATGCGCAACTGAGATGTTCGTGAGCAGAGCTCAGGTGGGCGGAGGGTGGTCAGCGACGGGGGTTGCGGTCAGCCCTTAACACCTCCCTTCAACTTCTCAGGCCCCTCCCGCCCTGCCGCCCACCCGGGAGCCGCCATGTGGCCCCTGGCCACTGTGATCGCCTTCCTGACCGTGGCCCTGTCAGGCGGTAAGAATGCGCGGGGGCGGGGGCGGGGCGGCCGCCCCGGACAATGGTAGGAGGGGTCAGGACGCGGGGAGGGGGCTGGGAGCCGCGCGCTCCGCCCCCCGCCCACTCCGGGCAGGGTCCCGCGGGGACAGCCCCGAGAGCTTCCTGCTTAGCCCTGAGTGACCTGGTTTCGCGGCTGGGGTCAGCCCACGGTCCCCACTGGGCCCCTTTCCTGTTTTACTCGGAGCCAGAAAGCCCACCCTCAGCCCTTCAGACAGTCCCCAGCAGCCCCTCCCACATTCAAGGCCCCTGGGGCGGGGGGCGGGCGGGGGGGGGTCCCAGGCCTGCCGGTTCGAATCCCGGCGCTGCCCCTGGGAGCCAGGGCCGTCGCTTCTTTGTGCCTCGATCGTCCCGTCTGTAAAGTGGGAACCTGTGAGTCCTTTCCCCAGAGGGCTGTTGAGGCAGCAGCGCCCGCCTGTGCCGACTGCCTGGCGCAGAGAAGGGATGGAAAGTTCGTCGCCACTCTCGTTTCCTTGGTTGTGTTCTCTAGCGGCCGCAGCCCCTTCCAGAAGCTTCTAGGCCTTCCTTTCATCCTGCGGGTGTCCCCAGACCTATCCGAGTCCACCCGGAGCTGGAACGCTCCCTGCCATTGAAGCCCCTCTCCCTGCCTTTGCGAGCAAGTTCCCTGGAAACGCCATTCAGGGATCATTTGTTCGTTTATACAGAGGACGTATTGTAGACCTGGCTACCCTGGACACGTATATAATTGCATTAACCAATGTCACCCCAATAAATTCCATTTAAAATAAGTAGCCCTGCATGCCAGGTGGCGGCCGGGTGTGGGCAAGCAGAGACAGAGTCCCCGCTCTCGGCGCCCAGAGCCTAGCGGTTCAGCTGCGGACATTATTCCGAAATTGCCCAAATAATTAGCTGATAATTAGTTACAATTGTAACACGAGGGGTCAGCTGCAAGGGGCCCAGCAGTTTCCTGCCGGGAGGCCCTGCACCCCGCCCCCTCCACCCTCCCAAAGGACGAGACCCTCGCTCGAGCTGAGACCCAAGGGAGGGAGGGGTCCAAGGGCACCCGACACCCAGCACCACCCTTGGCCTGGAGGTGGGGTGGCTCATCTCTTTTGGCGCTACTCCTAGGACTCCTGCCCTTGTCCCCAGCCCCTCCTGGGGCCCACACCCTGGGCTCGGGACTCCACATGCATTGGCTTGTGGAGTCCCCAAGAGCCTTAGGCTGTCTGTGAACTATAATTACTCCGGTTTTATGGCTTAAAAAGCCAAGACTCTGACCAAAGTCAGTCCAGCCCCAAAGACAGCAGCGGTGCCTGCGTCAGGATCCTGATCCAGGGGCCGGCTGTCTGCCCTGCCCCTGCGGCCTGGACTTCACGGCCTGGCAAACCATCTTCATTGTTTTATTTTTTTATGGATTGATTTTTTTTTTTTTTTTTTTTTTTGCTGAGAGGGAGGCAAACATCGATTCGTTGTTCTGCTCATGGATGCATTCGTTGGTTGATTCTTGGGTGGGGCCCTGAGCGAAGATCGACTCCGCAACCTCGGGGCATCGCGATGATGCTCTGACCATGCGCGCGAACCAGCCAGGGCCCGTTTCCATTATTTTAGACTGAAAGGTCTGCTTAGACTCGGCTGTTTTTAACTAACATCACAGCACATTAAAAGTAAAGGTTATGTCATTGCCCTACATGGAAAACCACCTTCTTGGCTATAAATGAGAGAGAAAAAAAATATCCTGCACAGCGAAACAGAAACGGTATGTTTATTGGGTTGGGCTAGGTGAGATTGTCGGCCTCTCCCCAAATAGCGATTGTAGATGGCTCGGCTAATACATTTTAGGTTGCAGACTGAGGATTCTGGCCCCCTTGGGTTTTAAAAAGTGAGCTCGTTTAGTTCATTAGATTCCGCATAGGAGTGAAAGCATATGGTGCTTGCTTTCTCTGACTGGCTTATTTCACTTAGCGCATGCTCGCCAGGGCCATGCGTGCTGTCGCAAAGGGTAAGATTTCCGTCTTTTTTTATGGCTAAGTAGTATTCCACTGTGTAACTGTACTACAGCTTTTTTTATCCACGCCCCTGTGGATGGGCACTTAGGCTGCTTCCCGATCCGGGCTATTTTAAATAGCGCTGCAATGAACATGATTCTTTTGCATTAGCATTCGGATTTCAGACGTGTAGACAGAGAACAGGCGGACAGCGGTTGGAGGGGGCGCTCGGGGGGTGCAGGGATAGAGCCAAAGAGGAAAAGGAAAAAGAAAAAACTCATAAATATGGACGACAGTGTGGTGATTGCTGGCGGAGGGAGGGGGGAAGTGGGGGGTAAAGGGGGGTGAATGGTGATGGACAGAGACTAGACTTGGGGCGGTGAGCACGCAATGCCGTGTGCAGAGGGTACAGGCAATGCGTTGTGGAACTGTGCCCCCGAGACCAATAACACTTGGTGAACCAGTGCCCCGCCAATAAATTCAACGAAAAAGAAAAAAGTAGTACGTAAAGAAATCAAAAGTGAGCTCAGCAAAGATTCTAGAGGCATTAAGCGCACACTGGCACCATCCTAAGACGTCTTCCTTGATAAAATCAGAACTGGAAGAGAGCTGGACAGTGACTCAGTTTCTGAGGCGGCGATGATGTTACTTACACCTCGCCCCCACAGCCACCTAACATGACCTTGTGCCCAGCAGTGACTTCTGTCCCCAACTTTGAGAACTCCTAATCCCACTGCTTATGGGGGCTGGGAAGGGGCTTGCTGGCCACAGAGCTAGGGGTCCCCCATTGCAGCTAATAACAACAGTCTCCCCTTACTGAGCGCTGTGTGTGTCTTAGGCGCAGGATTTTACTGAATCCCACAGCCACTCCATGAGAGAGGAAACGGTTACTTTCCCTACTTTATAGGTGAGAAAACTGAGGCTGGCAGCTAGTAACAGGATCACCCAGCCAGAAAGCAGCGCATTCAGGATTGGACTTTCTCTAGGCCATTGTCAGCTGCTGTGTCTCCAGTGCCAGACGGTGCTTGGCACCCACAACACTGGTTGAGCACCTGCTGTGTGTCAGGCAAGGTGCTAGGTCTATCTCCTTCCTATATCTGTAGGGTCCAATGTGGTGGCTACGGGCCACTTGGCGTTACTGAACATTTCAAATATGACTGGTGTGAGTGAAGAACTGAATTTTTTTCATTGATTTGAGAGAAACATGGATTTGTTGTTCCATTTATGGATGCATTCACTGATTGATTTTTGTATGTGCCCTGACCGGGGATCAAACCTCCAGGCTTAGCATATCAGGATGATGCTCTAACAACCTGAGCTACCTGGCCAGGGTGAGAACTGAATTATTAAGTTCCATTTTAATTAATCTAAATGAAAACAGTCACATGTGGTTAGTAGCTACCATATTGAACAGCACAGGTCTAGAGAAAGAACTGTCGAAAAAGAGGAAGCAGCAAAGGCAAAGGATCTGCTGTGGTTGAAGAAAAAGATCCATGAAACTGGAACAGAGTAAGTGAAGAACAGAGAGGTAAGAGATGGGGTCAAAGAGGTCAGCAAAGGTGAAGTGATTCAGGGCCCTGGAAACTTTGAATTTGGGAGCCGTTAGTCTATGGCTGGTATTGAAGCCAAAAAGAACCCAGTACATAGGTGTTAGAAAGATGGATGGATGGCTAGATGGACGGATGGATGGATGTTGGATGGAAGGTTGAGTGGATGCTGCCTAGGTGGTTGTGTATGTCTGTCTCCCTTCTGCCTCCTGAAACCATGCGCATGTTGGAACGAGAGGAAGTGCAGGTGGGGAGAAAGCCAGACTTCCGCTTCTCAGAAGCATCCTCAGTCGGTGAACTCTTCCTTCAACCCCACAGTGGAGGGCATGACACGTCTATGGAAAAGGACATTGTCTCCTTGCTCTGACTCCCCTCCACTATGTAGGAAACAGCAACTCTCAGCCTCCAAGAAATGAATCCTCAGTTCCTGGTCACTGAGAGCAAGTTCTGACCCTCTCCCTCAGCCCAGCAAGTACACCCCCGGGCCTCCCGCTCCGCCTGGGCCCCAGTTCCCAAGCGTTTTCTCCTCTTCACCAGGTACCTCTCAGGAGTATCCCAAGATTCTCAACGGCACCAACAGGACCAAAGGGTTTCTCCCCGGTGGCTACACCTGTCCGCCCCACTCTCAGCCCTGGCAGGCAGCCCTGCTGGTACATGGGCGGCTGCTCTGTGGGGGGGTCCTCGTCCACCCAAGATGGGTCGTCACGGCCGCACACTGTCTGAAAGAGTATGTAGGGGCCGGGGGAGCACGGGGTAGGGATGACAATGGGGCTGGGTGGGGCTGCATTTGAGGAAGAGGTTAGCGTTTCCGTTGGGACAGGAATGGGTGAGAATAAGGTTTGGCAGCAGGTCGGACCCTGTCCGCTGGGCAGGGACTTGCAGTGGATGCTTTGGGCGGGATTGGAATTGATGTGGAAGGCCCCGTGTTTGGAGATGAGGAAGGTGAGACGAGGGGAGGAGGCTGGGGCTGGGATGGGCTGGGGAGGGGTTCATCTTCACCTCTAACCACCCTGCTCCGACACCCGCAGGGGGTACAGAGTCCACCTGGGCAAGCACGCGCTGGGGCGCGCGGAGGCCGGGGAGCAGGTGAGAGACGTGGTGCGCTCTATCCCCCACCCTCTGTACCGGCGGAGCCTCACCCACCTGAACCACGACCACGACATCATGCTGCTGGAGCTGCACAGCCCGGTCCAGCTCACGAGCCACGCGCGCACGCTGCCTCTCTCCGACAGCGACTGCCTCCCCGCTGGCACCTGCTGCCGCGTGTCGGGCTGGGGCACCACCACCAGCCCCGAGGGTGTGTACCCGCACAGGTGGCCTGGGTCTCTGCGGGCGGGGGGCGGGGGGGGTGCCGGGGACCCTGGGGCAGAGGCGGGAGAGAAGGCTGGGGGAAGAGTTCCTTTATATATAAAAATGAAAGTTAAAAAATAGATAAGTATCAGGGAAAACAGAGAAAACATATAGTTACATGTTATATAGTGCATGTAACATGTATAAAGTTATGCATATCTTTTATAAAGATATGCATTTATAAATATATAGTTATGTGTTATATATGTCCTTTATATAAACTGACAAGTATAAAGTTATTTATGTTATAGATCATATACTCTATAGTTATATACCTTTATATAAATTTACAAATATAAAATTATAGGAAGTTGTTTGGGCATATTTATAAAAATAAACATACATCTGTTTATAAATATGCCAATGATAAGAATTAGATTTATTTTCTAAATTATAAGTCTGTATTTATGCATTCATTTAAATATATTTGTATATAAAGTGTATATTTTGCAGAAATATGTTTAAATAAGGACATAAATACAGACTTTAGAAAGTAAACGATATTTTGACAGCTATTAAGTGTAATAAAATAGAACCAACCGCGCCCTTTGTGCATGAGGTACACGGTGTGAAGGTGAGGGGGACCTACCGCAGCGGAGCCCGGGGCAGCCCCCTTGCCACCCCCAGCTCCCTGCCAGCCTCATGTCTGTGTCTCCCTGCCCCGCGTTCCCCAGCTCCCCTTCCACACTTCCCTACTCCTGCAGGCCTTCCATCTCGCCTGCGTTTCCTCTGCCTCCAATTCTCACTCCCCATCCCTGTCTTCCTACTTCTCCCGGCCCCTCTGTCTTGATGCATCAGTTCTCTGTCCTCCTCTGCCTTCCCGCTCGCTCCTGTCTCTCCACTCAGTTCCCTGCCTGCCCCCGGCCCCATCTCCCCCTCCACTTTCCTTTCACCTCCCCCCCACCTCTCTCCACATTTCTGGCTCTTCCATCTCTTCGCTTCCCGCCCCCGCCCCCCGCTGTTAACTCTCATCTCAAGGCCTGTCCGGGGCAGCAGCGCTCCTCAGCCCTTCCCCTCTCTCCTCCCCAGTGAGTTACCCACAAACCCTACAGTGCGCCAACATCCAGCTGCGCTCGGATGAGGAGTGCCGTCAAGTCTACCCCGGCAGGATCACACCCAACATGCTGTGTGCTGGCACACAAGAGGGCGGCAAGGATTCCTGTGAGGTGAGGCCATGAGGGGCTGGGCTGGGGGCTGCCGTAGGCCAGGATGAGAAGCCGGGAGGAAAGGACAGATGCCAGACGGAAGGATTTGCTTCGAGCCTCTGGGGAACTGGCTTGTGTAAGGTGAGATATCCCTTAGTGCAGAGAGTCAAGACAAAACAAAGTGCCCATGGATGACAAATGTAACTCATCTTAAGCCCCAGCTTTGCCTGACAGTGGCTGCCCAGAGCTTGGGGTTGACATGCATAGAGATGAGGATGTTTTTTGGTTGCTAAGGGACCAAAAAATAAAAAAATAAACTTAAAAGAAACATCTCAGACTGCCTTGAGCAAAACGCTGGCTTCTATAACTAAAAAGTCCAGAGGTTCCTGCGTCAGGCATGGATGGATCCAGGTACACACATGAGATGCTTATGACTTACATACATGTCTTTTTTTCTTTCTTTTTTTTTTTAAAGATTTGATTTATTTATTTTTAGAGAGAGGGGAAGGAGGGAGGAAAGAGAGGGGGAGAAACATCTACGTGTGAGAGAAACATGGATGGGTTGTCTCTCGCGTGTCCCCACTTGGGGACCTGGCCCACAACCTAGGCGTATGGCATGCCCTGGGAATTGAACCAGCGACTTTCTGGTTCACAGGCTGGTACTCAACCCACTGAGCCACACCAGCCAGGGCAAGACCTTGAGCATGACTCTCGCTAGGCTGACTTAGGTAGTGTCCTGGGACCATTGCTCTGGACAGAGCTGTGGGATTCCCTGATAGACCAAATCTGGGTCACCTGACTAACTGTGGGGGATGGGAGGGGCAGGGACAAGCATTGAGAGTGGGGGAAGGGTCATTCCGCAAGTGAAAAAATCAGGAGGCTGTTACCAAAATAAAGTAAAATGGGTATTACATGGGCAAAATGGCAACCTGTGTCCAAGAGAGGAGGCTTCTTAGGTTGAGGTTGAGGTTAGTGGGAAAGGGTACAATTATGAATCGGTGATGAGTGCCTTATCAGTAGTAAGAATGTATGTTCTGGGCCCAGGGGAGACAAAGCACACATGGGTGCAAACCCCGCGCAGATGTGGAGAGGTTAACTCAATAGTTAGATGACATGAAGAAACCATAAAGCAGGAGCAGGTTTGGGGGACCAGAGGGCACAGGGCAGGACTTGGTGCCAGGGAAGCAGGAACAGGTGTGTAAGGTAAGCTGCCACTGCTTGAATGGGACAAGAACAGAGACGCAGAAGTCTCTCTCTCTCTGTCTCAGTGTCTATCTCTGTCTTTCTATTTCTCTCTCATTCTCTGTCCCTCTGCGTTTGCCTTCTTCTTCTTTTGTTTTTTTAAAGATTACTTATTTATTTGTTTCTAGAGAGAAGGGAAGGGAGAGAGAAAGAGAGGGAGAGAAATATCAATGTGCGGTTGCCTCTCGTGCGCCCCCTACTGGATACCTGGCCTGCAACCCAGGCATGCGCCCTGCCTGGGAATCGAACCAGCGCTCAATCCACTGAGCCACACGAGCCAGGACTGTGTTTGCTTTCCAGTCTCCGCTTGTCTCTGTTGCTGTCTCTCACCGTCTCACTGTATTCCTGCCCCTGCCTCTGTGTCTGTCTCTCTCCATCTTTCCCTCTCTCCCCACTCGTCCCCATCTCTGCCTTTGTTTGGCCCCAGCAAGGACCCCGTCTTTTTGTCTCCCCCCTCAGGGTGACTCCGGAGGCCCCCTGGTCTGCAACGGAAGACTCTATGGCATCATCTCCTGGGGAGACTTCCCCTGTGGGCAGCCCAACCGGCCCGGCGTCTACACCCGCGTCTCTCAATATATTTCCTGGATCCAAGAAACAATCCGAACACAGAAACCTCAGGAGCGGAAATGGACAAAAAGCCCACAATAAAAGTCGCGTTGACTTACCCACCTCCTTCCCCCCATGGTGCCCTCCTTACTCAGCTTGCCCAGCCCTTCGCTGCCCCTCCCAGATTGTCCCACTCAAATCGACGATCCACGTTCTCAAAAACTCCCATCCCAGCTGATGTTCCGTGTTTCAAAAGCACACAGTCACTGCCAGCATCACGCTCTGCCAGACGTTGCATCCTTGAAACACCCCAGTGCCCCGTCTGTCCCAGCCCAGACACGTTCCAGATCTCCCAACTGTTTCAACATAAACCCAGATCAGCATCTGAATGTTTTATCTGTGAAACACTTCAATACCTCCAGCCCGTCCTAATGAGATTCTATGTCCCGTGCACACACCACCCGTGAAAACATCCCATGCCCCTTCAGACATGTGTTCATTGCCAATATTCTAGATCCCTCTGTGTTTTGTACTCAAGATGGTTCTAGACCCCCATGATCCCATGCCGTTTCATTCTGAAAGTACTCTTGGGCCCACAGTTTTCTGCCCTGACACCTTGCTATGTCCTTCTGAATGTCATCGCCACTCATGTTGAATGTTCACACTGGTTCACGCTGCCATAGCTCTGGGCCTCCCAGATGTGCCGTCCCTACCAACGTCCGGCCTCTGACGATACTGCCTGTCTGTGAGTCCCCACGCCCACTCTACGGTAGCACTCGAGTCGAGGACCACGGGATGCAGTATCCCAAGGCCTCCATGCCTGCGCCCTACGGTCCATCAAATATCCTGCCATCTGTCTCCTTGTTCGGTGTCCCTTGCTGCGATGACACCTTTGCTCATGACCACATGAGCCAAATGCTTAAGCCACTGGGGTCTCTGCTTTGAATGAGTCATAAAACTCACCATGTCTCCTTCCTCATCTGTAAAATGAGGCTCATGTTTTTGATTCCTTTTATTTATTTACTTTCAGAGAAGGGAGGGAGAAAGAGAGGGAAACATCAATGAATGATAGATACGTTGATTGGTTGCCTCTCACATGCCCCCAACTAGGGACCTGGCCTGCAACACTGGCATGTACGCTGACTGGGAATTGAACCAGTGAATTTCCAGTTGGCAGGCCGGCACTCAGTCCACTGAGCCACACCAGCCAGGGCTCATAATTATTCTTCATGGCATTATCGTGAGGATAAATGTTGGCTTACTGCTACTATTTGCATGGTTCCCTATAAAATATAACCTTTGGGTCCTGGCGGGTGTGGCTCAGTAGATTGAGCACCGGCCTGCAAACCAAAGGGTAAAATCTTTTTTAAAAAATGTCACCTTTGGCTGTCAATAACAACCCCTTTGCAGAGTATCCAAAGGGTGTTGCATTTGCTTCTTTTTCTCAGCAAACATTTATTCAGGGCTGACATGTGCAGTCATTCTCCTGAGTATTGGTAAATATAATTTTGTGTATTCAAATGTTGGTACCTATGATAAACCAGGCACTCTCGTGGACACAGGTGATAAACAGTGAATGAAACAGGTAGACATTCCTGCCCTTGGAGAGCTTACATTTTTGGTGAGAAAACATACAATAAAAAGGTGAATTAAGAAATAGATTGTCACGTGGTTAAAAAAGGGGGTCAGGGTAGAAAGGTAGGTTAGGGAGAGTGAGTGGGATCGTATATATTTATTTATTTTTAGAGGGAGGGAAGAGAAGGAAAAGGAGAGAAACATCAATATTTGAGAGATACAGCAATCAATTGCCTCTCACATGCCCCCAACTGGGGACCTGGCCTACAATCCAGGCATGTGCCCTCACCAGGAATGGATTTGTTATTCCACTTATTTATGCATTCATTGGCTGATTCTTTTTTTTTTTTTTTATTTCACTTATTTTTAGAGAGAGAGAGGAAGGAAGAAAGAGAGGGAGAGAAACATTGTTCGGTTGCTTCTCCTGCGCCCCCTAGTGGGGACCTGGCCCACAACCCAGGCATGTGCCCTGACTGGGAATCAAACCTGTGACCTGGTTCACAGGCTAGTGCTCAATTCACTGAGCCACACCAGCCACTGCTCATTGGTTAATTCTTATATGTGCCCTCACGAGGATCAAACCTGCAACCTTTGCATACTGGGTTGGTGCTCTGACCAAGTGAGCTACCTGGCCAGGGCTGGAGTTGCTTTTAAGTAGGGTAGTCTGGAAAGAAGGCAGTGCACACAAAACAATACACGATTTGTTATACCATATACTAATAAAGCTACAACATTATGAATGTACTAACTGCCACTGAACTGTTCACCTTGAATGGTTACCTTTTCTTTTAAAGGTTTTTCTTATTTCGTTTTAGACAGAAGGGAAGAGACGGAGAAAGGGAGAGAGAAACATCCATGTGTGGTTGCCTCTCGTGCGCCCTCTGCTGGGGACATGGCCTGCAACCCAGGCATGTGCCCTGACTGGGCATTGAACCAGCGACCCTTTGGATCGCAAGTCGTCACTCAATCCACTGAGCCGCACCAGCCAGGGCTTGAATGTTTACTTTTATAGGTAAATTTCATCTTAATTTTTTTAAAGCTATGCAATAATATAATAGCAAAAGATACACAGTAATGGAAACAATAACAAGGATATACAATAAAAATAATAGCACAGGATAGACAATAATAAAAGCTAGCAAAAATACACAATAATAAAATCAATAGCAAAGGGTACACAGTAAAGATAATGGCTAAAGATACACATTAAAGATAAAGAGAATAGCAGGAGAAAACGGGAGAAGAGGGAATAAAATAAGGAAAGCAAGATCACCCATTCAAATCTCTATTTGAGGCTTAAGAACTAGCTAAATATATCAGTAAACCTTGAAAAAAGATAGCACGCACTTCAAAGGGCTCCTTGGGAAGATCAATAGCGTTAACATGTGAAAAGCGCTCGAAAGAACACCAGGTTCTGAGTAAGCGCTTAGTTAGTGGCAACTGTCATTAGTATTGTTGCTCTTATTGATATAATTGTTATGACGCTACGTCTCCCAGGCTGCCAGTGCCAGAGCAAGCAGCCGTAGGTGACAGCTGAGGATTTGCGAGAGGGAGAGGTGGCCGCCCAAATCCTTCCTGTGGAACAGGGAACAGAAAATAATGACATACCTGAGCTGAAGATGGAACTGCCCACACCTTAAATCAGGAAAGCCGGCCAGGGAGCCGGGCTCTGCAGCTTCTCAGCCTTTCCTCCTCCCTCCCTCTTCTGAATTTGGAAACCTAGTGTTCTTTCTTTCTTTCTTTCTTTCTTTCTTTCTTTCTTTCTTTCTTTCTTTCTTTCTTTCTTTCTTTTTCCTTTTTTTTTTTTTTTTTTTTTTTTTTTGGTCTACAGAAATTTTAATAACAATGGGGATCTGGGTGGAGAGGAATTTGGAACGCCGGAGGAAGGGACTGGAGACCGGGAAAGCCAGGCGAGAGGGGAGTCGAAGGGAAGGCGATACTTCCAGACACCGGCCCCGCTTAAGAAGTTTCATTCTCCCGAGACCCCCGGGGAGGATACGGCAGCGTCCCGATTTACAGAAATGTCAGTCTAGACTAGGGAAAATTCATCAGTGATTTGGGCTTGTCCAGGCTGATGGGGACACATTCCTGTGCTTGTCCCCAGGAGCATCCCCAAGGACTTCTCCCTCGCCATCTGGAGGGTCGAGGCCAAGCTCAGTCACTGCCCCAACGGTGGCCCTTGTGTAAGGGACTGGGCTGGACGTTCAGGGCTAAGGGGATAATAGGGTTCTGCACCCGATTCTAATGCGTGGGGTGGGTTCCCTCCCGTTCCCAAGCAATTCGCAGGCACCAGCGGGGTGCCCTACAATTGAAACTCGAGGCAGACACTGTCCACCAGGAGAGAGTCAGACCCCACAGGTCAAAGGCTCAGCCCTGCAAGACTGCCCCGTCCCACCTGCTGGCCCCTGCTTCGGATGCCAGTCGAAAGCCCGAGTGGTCACCTGTGCCCTGACCACCAGCAGGAGGTCTGAGGTTACGACTCCCTCCTTGGGCTGGATTATTTGCTGGGGTGGCTTGCAGAACTCAGACACTTTACTTATTGGATCACCACTTTATTACAAAAGGACATGACTCAGGAACAGCCAGAAGGGGGAAAGGCAGAGGGCCAGGTACATGGGACGGGGCTCAAATCCTGCATGACCCCCCACCAGGTGCCTCTCCCCCCAAATCGCGTGTGCGCCGACCCTGAAGCAGCTTTCTGAGTCCTCTCCTCCTGGGTTTTTATAAAGGCTTCACTACACAGGCAGGACTGATTAACTCCTTGGCCATTGGTGACTCATTCAACCTCCAGCTTCCATTCCCTCTCCTGAGGTGAGGGATAGGGGTTGGGATTGAAAGTTCCAACCTTCTAATCACACTGTTAGTTCCCCTGGCAACCAGTGCCCATCCTTAGCTGCTTTCCAAAAGGCACTACATTAACCTACCAAGAGATGCCACCACTTTGGAAATTCCACGGTTGTCCGGAGCTCTGCGCCAGAATTGGGGATGAGGACCAAACATTTATTTCTTGATGTATTTACACTATCACAGGGGACCATGGGCTTTAAGCCCAAGCTTTGGTTTTCACAAGTGTAATGACAAGATGAGAGAAACGAGCAGGTGGCAGGAGGGCCGAAGAGGCCGGGGACCCAGGTCAGGCAGCTTGGAAGCAAAGCGGACTCAGAATCCAGTAGCAGGCAAGACAGATTTCAGGGGCAGGGAGCTGGTGGTTGAGCACTCAGTCTTGGGGCCTGATGGGATATCCCAGGAGACATCAAGGGAAGTGGGGTCTAGAGAGGCTTGGGCTCCTGAGGGTCTGAGGCGGGGGACTGAATAGCTGGAGAGGCCACCAAGCAGACAGGCTAGGACCTGAGAGCAGGTCAATGGGGACAGACGATGAGCTCAGTCTGGGTCATTTGGGAAGTTGGGGAGAAGCCTGAGAGCTAAGCTGCCCCAGGGACAGGTGACAGGTGAGATAGTCAGGTGTATGCAGTCAGTGCATTCGCTGTGGCTTAGGACAGGGCCCTGGGAACACCCTTGTTTGTGAAGACACCAGGGAAGGAAGAAAAGGCCTATTCATGCAAGAGACCAGGAAGGGGAGCCAACAAAGTAGGAGGAAAACCAGCAATGCACGGCTTCCGGAAGCCGGAGAGGAGCGGCCGGCATGCGGAATGTTGTGGAAAGGTTGAGTAAGAAATGCTCAGATAAATGGACAGACAGGTGGCCTCTGGGTTGCTCAACATGGAAATCTGTGGGAACCCAAAAAGAGCGTGGCTGCAGGGTACCAGCAGTGAGCGGGGCCCTGCGGAGGAGTTTGGCTGGGAAGGGTGGCAGGAAGGCAGGGTTGTGGGGCTGGCTCCCAGGAACTCTCTGGTCCCAGGGTCAGCCAGCACAGCAGTAGGCACACAGGCACCTCAGACGGTTTGTTGAGTGACTGAATGAGGGGCTGATGGGATGAATGAATGAGCAGAGGAAGCAAATGAGGTAGAAAGATAAGACAGAAGAGGAAGAAATTGTAGCACCAAGTTGTAGCTGCTATTTCTTCACTATCTGAGAAAAAAAAGGTTGTTATCTAAGTCAGCTTTGTTCATTTTTTTAATAAAGAAATTAACACTCTCTGTCTGACTTATTACACTTAGCGTAATAACCTCTAGGTCCACCCGTGTTGTTGCAAATGGTAAGATTTCTTTCTTCTTTTATGGCCAAGCACTGTTCCATTATATACATGTACCATGTCTTCTTTATCCGGTCACCTACTGGTGGACACTTAACTGTAATTGAAAAAGTAAAAATTAAAATGGAAAAAATAAAATTCTAAAAATAAATAAATTTTTAATCCTCACCCGAGGGTATTGGTACTGTTTTCAGAGAGAAGAAGGAGAGGGCGGGGAAGAGAGACATTGATATGTGAGAGAAACACTGATTTGCTGCTTCCTATATGCTCTCCGACGGAGGATTGAACCCGCAACCTGGGTACGTGCCCCGACTGGGAATTGAACTCACAACTTTACGCATGCATGGGATGACCCTCCAACCAATTGAACAACCAGGCTAGGGCAAAGAAATAAGTTGATAATGGTAATTTTGATAGTGTCTACAGCTCACCTATCTGATATCCCCACTCATCTTTGTTACCATGTTTGATGAGCCCAAGAGAAAGTCATGTGTAGACATTTAGCTTCGTCCTAACCCCATTTTTCAGATGGACCAACAGAGGTCAGGACAAGCAAGTGGCTCAATGGCCCCCAGTGAATCATGGGATGGACTGAACGTTCAACCCAGTCCACACGATTCCAAGTTATCCTCTTTCTTTGAAACCCATAAGAAAGGTCCTACATCCATCTAGTCACACATATACCCATTCAGTTATTCATCTCTTCATTCGTATGTCTGGACAATAATTAACAATACAGGCTCTGGAGACAGCCTGCCTGGGTTCAAACTCCGGTTCAGCCACTTACCCGCTGGGCGTGTCTTCATCAAGTGGTGCCTCAGTTTCCACATCCATGGCCGGGTGTTGGGTGGCTGAGTTCTCTCTGGGCAATGGGCTTCCTATGGGACGTATGACGACAGCCAAGAGTAAAGCGGGAGGCGTGGGGGCTCTCCCAGGGGAACTTGGCAAAGGTGCTCAGAGCTGCAAGCCAATCTCTGCTCTGTGAGCCCCCAGCTACAAAAACATGGGGTTGGCTTTAGCCAGAAGCCACAGACTGCACGTTTCTGTGTCTGGGAGAACGGCCATTTCATGTAAAGGGAATCCTACAACACGTGGCCTTTTGTGTGTCTCTTTTTCTCCCCACTCAGCCTCCTGTTTCCAAGGTCCGTCCATGCGGTAACAGGTGTCCGCGTTTCATTCTTTTTCATGGCTGAATAATGATCCCTTGTGTGGAAGGACCCCATTTGATTCCTCCATTCATCAGTGGACCAACATCAGCTTAATGGGTGTGCGGGTCTCTCGAGGGGAGGTGAAAATGTTCTTGGATGAGACCGTGGCGATGGCCACACAGCCTGGGGAGCGCAGTGGAATTCATGGAATCGTAGATTTTAAAATGACTCACATGCCCAGTTTTATGTTCTGTGAATTTTACTTCCAAAAAAGGAAAAGAGATGCAGAGAGAGGGAGAGGGAGGTGGGGAGCGGGATGGGAGGAGAGAGAGTTCTGAGTTGGACCCATAGTTGTATTTTGGGGAAGGGCAGATTGGCCAATATCTAAAGTTGGGAAATGTCTCAACATAAATCTGAATTTCCAGCTTTTCTTGAAACGTCAGGAGAGGACTTGGCAACGGTGGGACCGGGTTCCAGAGGGCAGCTCCAGACTGAAGCTGAAGAGTGAGTTTTATTGCCTATAAATTGCAAACCAGATTCACACACCCCCCCAAAAAAATCCACAAAAAGGGAGAAATCAAGGAGTATTTCAGAACAAACCAAAACCTGAAGGTTTGTGATTCTGAATTCAGAGAGAAAAAGAGACCCAAGATCGCCCAAAATACAGAGGAGTGGAGTGGGGACCCCTCCCCTACTTGTCCCCTCCCCCACTGTCCCTCTCTCAACGGAAGCCCTTTTGCAAAAAAAGTCTGTGATGCGCCCTGGCCCGGACGGGGACGCGCTCAGCACACCAAGGCTGCAGGTTCCGTCTCCAGCCAGGGCGCATACAAGACTCACCCAATGAATAGATCAATAAATAAAAATCTTATAATTAAAAAAAAAATTCAGTGAGCACCAGACTTCGACCGAACCCAGTTTGGAAACGCTCCTCTGTCTCCTCCTGAAATCGCTTCCGTCTCCTCCTCTCCTCTGTCCCAGGCTCTCTCGGCCTCCGGCGGTGCTGCCTCTCACTTCCCCCCTCCTGACCTTTCCCTGCACCGCCGGGGGTGGGGCCAGGTGTCCGCGAGCCACGCCCCCCCGAGTTTTTTTCACTGGAGTTGGGATTAGAGCCCAGCTCTCGGATGGCCCTGAGTCAGCAGAGGGAGATGGGGTGGGGGCTCCTGGCTGGTTCGGAGAGGAAGAGGGAAGGGGTGGGGTCGAGCCCTTCCTCCCGGCCTTCCCCGGGCCCCCTCCCGGCTCCCCTTCCTCCATTCAGCTGTGAAGCTCAATTAGGCGTCCTCAAAGTCAGGAAGAGTTTGTAGGGGATTAGAAGGCGCCCCGCCCTGTGCCTTCCTCATCCTCTCCCCTCCACCAGGAAACTGAATGGGCTGGAACAATGAGAGTTAAAAGCCGAGTCAGCTGCCGACCCGGCCAGACGGGAGGGGGACAGGTGGGGCAGCATGACAGCTGGCTGAGAAGTCAGGTGGCCAGTGGGAGCAATGACTGGCCGGCAGGTGACAAATTAGGCAGGTAGGTGGGCAGACAGATAACTGAGGCACAGGCAGGCTGACACCGGACGGCCACGTGGAAGACCCAGCGGACAGAGACAGAAGGTGAGTGGGAGGCAGGCAGTCACAGCTGAGGGGGTGACAGCGGGAGACTCGCCGAGCCCGGGGAGGGGGACGTCGCCTCCTCGTGTCCCCGTGGAGCACACGTGGGAAGGATGAGGACGGGAGGGACCGGTCGACAAGAAGAGGGCCGTCTCTGAGAACCCCCTCCTGTCCCCCAGAACCTGGAGGTGGCCCACCATGGGGTCCAGCATCTTTTTACTCCTGTGTGTCATTGGTGAGTTCCTCAGGGGGACGTGGACTCCCTCCCTCCCCCATGAAGTGGGGACCCTCATCTCCCCGTCTCAGCACCGCCCCCCGCCCTCCGCCTGGCAGCAAGGCGGGGAGAAGGGCCGACTCTGTTCCTTCATTCCCCTCCAGCGCCTGGGCTCCCTCCCCTCCCCCCGGCCCCCCCCCAGCCTTTGACCCACCTCCCCTCTATCTCCCCCGTCACTGTGTCTCTGCTCACTCACTCTGTGTGGCCCCTCTATCTTTAAGCATCTCTCTCTCTCTCTCTCTGTCTCCCTTTCTCTTCCGCTCTGTATCTCTAGGGGTTACACTGTCTGTGTCTTTCATCACTAGGTGTCTGCCTCTGCCTGGCTCGCTCTTTCTTGGGGTCTCAGTCTTCCTCTTGCCTCTTTCTCTTTTGTGTGTCTCGCCATCTCTGCATCTCACTGTCTGTACCTGGACCACAGTCTCTGGGTCTCTGACCTCTCCTCTCTGGCCCATACCCCTGTCCTCAGGGCTCAGCCACGCGTCCACAGAGAAGATTTTTAATGGCACGGAGTGTGTGCCTCACTCGCAGCCTTGGCAGGTGGGGCTGTTCGAAGGTACCAACCTGCGCTGTGGGGGGGTCCTCGTCGACCGCAGGTGGGTCCTCACAGCTGCTCACTGCAGCGGCAGGTAAGCCCCCTGTTTGGGTCTCTCGCTGGCAAAGATGGGTGGCGCGGAGGAGAGGGCTAGGGGGTAGGGGCTCATGGGAGGGAGCGGCAAGGAGAAGGGAGAGGGTCCTGCCACAAAGGACTCTGAGGTTAGACAAAGAGGAGGACTTCCTCAAACACGGGCCTGTGGTGGGGTTGGCTGGGCTTGGTGGGGTGGAGGGCCAGGCAGGGCCCTGGAACCTGCCCACCCCGACCTCCCATCCTTCGAACCCCACTCCCTTCCTATACGGCATTGCTCACCAGCCCCAGCCGTTCTCTGACGCAGCCTGGGCCCGGGGCCCGTGTCTGACCCAAACTCCGGTGCAACCGCAGTCACTGGTCCCCTCTGCAAAATGACAGGATTGGGCTTTCTAGGTCTGACACTCTGCACTTTATGTGGAAGGAAAGGTTCAGGCACAAAGAGATGGAGAGCTTTGGGGACAGGGGGAACCCCAAGCAGGACAGAGAGCATTCCCTTAGTTGACAACGTTGAGAGCCCAGGCAGCCTCCGAGGTGGTGGGAACAGAGCAGCGAACGAGAGTAAAAGACGTCCCTACCCCTGTGGGCCTCACCGGCTAAGGGCATCAGAAGGGGACACAGTACAGTGGCGGGGCGCTGGGCGGGGTGAAGCTGGTGATGGAGGCTGAGACCAAAGGTTGGAGAGAGAATGCCTTAGAGAGAGAACGAGAGCAGATGAATGGGGGACACGAAAGAGAGGCAGGAGGGCCTGGGAACCTGGGGGCAGCCACCTGCTGAGCCACACTGCCCCCCAGCAGGTACTGGGTGCGCCTCGGGGAGCACAGCCTCAGTCGCCTGGACTGGACGGAGCAGATCCGGCGTAGCGGCTTCTCCGTGACCTACCCCGAGTACCAGGGAGCCCGGAGGAACCATGAGCATGACCTGCGACTTCTGAGGCTGGGCACCCCCATCCTCTTGACCCGCAGTGTCCAGCCCCTGGCCCTTGCCACCAGCTGTGCTGCACCTGGCACGGAGTGCCACGTCTCGGGCTGGGGCACCACCAACCGACCGTGGAGTAAGGGGGCCCCGGGGTTCGGGGTCAGGATGGGCAAAGGGCTGGGTATGGGGAGAGAGGTCAGGAGTAGCACCATGTCAGAGGAAGGAGGGGTCAATGTCCACACGTCAGGATTGTAGTTTGAAGTCAAAGGTCATAGTGGATGAGGTCTTGGGAGTCCAAGTGGTTGAAGGTTGAGTATGGAGTCCGAAGTGATGGGTCAGGGATGTCCGTAGAGGTCAGAGTGCTGTCAAGGATCATCAGACTGGAGCAAAAGGCATATACAAACGGGATGACGGAGCCGTGGGTTATGGACTCTGGGCATTTGAGGTCACTGGAGAATTGAGGTCATGGGATGCACATGTTGCAGAAGCTGACCGCAACCTAAGAATGGAAATCAGGGATCAGTGGTCTGGGGTTGGAAGCCACAGTGTTTGGGGCGTGGAGCCAGACGTTAGGGGTCACATAGTCAGGGTTCAAATAGACAAGGATCAGAGGTCACTTTGGAGAAGGGACCAATGGTTTAGAGGATGCAGAGCCGAGGCTGGAGCTTAGGGTGAAGACCAGAAATACAGGGTCAGGAGAGAGGCGACGTGAGGTCAAATTGGCATCAAAGGATGATAAGATTGAAGGTTGAAGATCACGGTAGCTGAGACAGGAGGAGGAGGTCTGGTCTGGGTTCACTGTCCCTTAAGTTGGAGGGACAAGGAGGGTCTAGAGTTACGGCACTCAAAGGTAGAGGTTGTTAACAGGTCAGGGGACTGGGGTCAAGGGTCACCATGAAAACAAGTCGTACATCCAACATTTGGAGGTCTGAGGGCTGTAACGGAGGTTGCCAGGAGGGGATGGGTCATAGGCTTGGATCGAGCTTCCTTGAGAGGAGGGATGTGGCCGCAAAGTGGGAGCGGTAGGGGAAACTGCAGCATGCATCTGCTACCCCCAGACCCCTTTCCCGACCGGCTGCAATGCCTCAACATCTCCATCGTCTCCACTGCCGCCTGCCGAGCTGTGTTCCCCGGGAGAATCACGGACAACATGGTGTGTGCGGGCGGCATCCCCGGGGAGGACGCCTGCCAGGTGAGCGGATGCAGGCAATGCCCGGTCCTCCAGGACCGGAAGTCAGGGACCGAGAAGGGGAAATGGGGAGGGTGAGTCAGAGGAAGGGGGTGAGGGAGAAAGCTGAGGTCCGAAAGAAAGGGAGGCACAGAATAAAGGAGGGGGACGGAGCAGGAGGAAGAGCCAGGGAATGGAGGACAGAGAGAGGGAGGGTGGGCAGAGAGGAGAGGGAGGTGGGGGAGGGCAAAGGACCAGTCCGCAGGGCACCTGGGGCTCAGGCAGGGAACCTGCTGCCTCTCCAGTTCTGAGTCTTCCCCATAGAGTCCTCCAGTGGACACTGGCGCCTGCGAGAGAGTTGAGGGTGGAGGCAGGAAGGGGGACTGGGGAGCTCTCTCACCCTCACATTCTGCTACCTTGTCCTCTTGGGTCTTCCAGAGAGGAGGCCTGCCCCACCTGTCAGTCCCCTCCAGGGAACTCTCAGAGTCCCGCCCTCAATTTGCTGGGATTGGTTACTGACGCCTGTGTCCTCGACCTTCATTGGCCAGGGTCCCAGCCATTGTCTTTGAGGGACCTCATTACCCTTTGTGGAGCCCCGCCCCCTTCCCTGGGATTGGTCATTGGTGATGGTGTTCTCTTCCCTCATTGGTCAGAGCCAGAGACATTGTCCTTGAGGGAACTCTCTACCCTTGGCGGAGCCCGCCCGCCCTTCGCTGGGTTTGGCTCCTGGAACAGTGCCTTCGTCTCTGGGGTTCAGTCACTGCTGTTGTCCTTCTGGAACCCGGCCGTGGTCTTTCTCCGGTGCCCAGGCTTGGAGCCCCTGTCCTCAGGCCCAGAAATGGGTTGAGGAAGGGGACACTGGAACAGGATTTCTCCGTATTCAGGCCCGGCTCCTTTTCCTTCAGGGCGACTCTGGTGGCCCCCTGGTGTGCGGAGGCGTCCTGCAGGGTCTGGTGTCCTGGGGGTCCGTGGGGCCTTGCGGGCAAGGAGGCATCCCGGGAGTCTACACCAACATTTGCAAATACGTGAACTGGATCCGGAGGGTCATAAACAACTGACCTACTCCTTCTACCTCGGCCCCCAGCTTGGGGGCCACTGGGACCTTCAGAGCTCCAGCATCTCCTCCACCGTCAGCCCCCGCTCTCGCGTGTCTTGGTCTGAGGGCCTTCTTCCCAGAACTCCACTCCAGCCAGCGCTCCCAAGGCCCACGGTTCAGGGAGGAGGGAGTGTGTGACTACTTGGAATAAATAGAACTTGAGAATGGGCGATGTCTATTTGGTGCCCCCGTGCTGGCTGAGAATGGAGGGAGGGCTCATCAGTTCCCCGACTCACAGCTGTAGACATACAGGTCGGTGAGGGTTTCCCCTCAGAGGCCTCACAGAAAAGGAGTACAGAGTGTATAACCAAAATAAAAAAAAAGGGGGGGGGGCATTTTTCTCCATCTGGTACAAGAGGAAGAGCAACCCAGAGCTTCTATGCTTTTCCAGGGTCCATAAGGACCTGAAGGGGGGAAAAAATTATTGGATGCAAGATACCAAATGACAACTGTGAAATCCAATTCATGACCATTTAATTAAATGCCTATAAAATGTAACATTCCTCCGACCAGCCAATGGCAGCTCGGTTCTGCTGGAGTTGAACATACATTAAATTGAACATGGAATGTGGGTTCGTTTTTTGTGCTTGCGAGGACGGAGGGTGGGGTGCAGCCTTTGGAAGGCAAGAAGACCCATCCTACCTCTTGGAACAGGCCTGCCCGCCCCCTTGGGGTCCCGTCTTCACCGTCCCTCCCCCCCCGAGGCAGAAAGAGAACTCCCCCCACCCTCCCCGGCGAGCGAGCAGAAGGGGGATTTGAGACGTGGCCCCAACCTCTGGGGGAACCGCTGCTGAGCGCCTCCTATCCTTGGCTCCCCTGCAGCCCTCATTCCAACCCCCCAAGGCAAGGCCGTCACCCCCATGTCGCAGGTGAAGAAACTGAGCCTCGCTCGGGTGGAGTCCCTTGCCCTACGTCATCGAGGTAGGAAGAGGCAGAGCTGAGGACTGGGGCCAGGGCTGGCTGCCTTAGGAGCCCAGGCCTCCCCGGCAGTCCTGCTCCGCGTCCGGTTAGGGGAGAGAGGAAGGCAGGACGGCAAGGAGATCTGATCGATAACAACCCAGGAGAAGCAGGGGTTGTCCCTCGAGTTTGCAGACGAGGAAAATGAGGTGGCTCAGATTTGGGAAGTCGTCGGACCCAGGTCACCCAGCGAGTAAGTGCCGTGGCTGCATTCCAGGGACCCTGGGGCTCCTGGCGGACCGGACCGGGAGGCAGGGCAGGGGAGCAGAGGGAAGGGTCCGCAGAGGAGCCCTGGTTTCCCACTCTCGGGCCTCGACTCCCACAGGCCCCAACCTGCCTCCCCCACCCTCCCGTCCTGCCCCTTCGCCTGGCAGCAGCCCCACCTTGGAATGGAGAAGGGAGGGGCCCGGGGGAGGCAGGGCCCCCCCCCCAGCTCAGGCTTGGGGAGGGAGGGGCAGGCACCGGAGGGGATGAGGCAGGAGACCTGGGAGAATAAGAGAGCGTGGGAGAAAAAAACCAGAGGGAGACAGAGACAGAAAGGCACAGTCCCACAGAGACAAAAAAATGACATGCATGCAGAACCACAGAAAGGCGGGGAATGACAGATGAAGAGAGAGATTTGCAGTGACAGGGCAGGATGTAAACAGAGATAGATGGGCAGACGGGAGAAGCCGAGAGAAGAGGGGCTTGGAGAGGCGACAGAGGCGGGCGGGCCGGCGGGCGGCATTGCCTCTGAGGCCTGTCTGGGGAGGGCCCCCACACATACCCCGCCCCCGGGGCAATAAGGCAGGGCTGGGAGGCCCAGTCGTCATGGGCCATCCCCCTCCCGCCTGCCTGCCTGGTGCCTCGAGCTCCGGCCCAGCCTGCCCCAGCCCGCCCCAGCCCGCCGCCGCTGCCACCACCACCGTGGGCCCCGGAGCCCCAACCCCAGAGCCCGTGAGTGTGGGAGGGAAGGGGAGGTCGCCCTCCAGGCCGCGCCAGCTGGAGTGCAGCAGGCCTTCCGGTTCTCCAAGCAGCACCAGCCCTCCTGGGCCTCGGTGCCTTTCTCCCTCTGCTCTGTCCTTCTAGGCTTGGGTGGGGGCTCTCTGTTTCTCTCTGTCCCTCCAACCTGCTGCCCCCCAACCTCAGTGACCTCTGACCCCAGCTTCTGTCACTGAGTCCAGCCCTCCACCTCCACCCCTGCTGGCCAGGGCAGCTGAGGGCGCTGACTCTCCCGTGACCAGTCCCTCCTAGCTCTGTCCAGTTGTCCTTCCAAGGGGCAAAGGTTCAGCAGCACGAGGTCCCAAACACCATCCCAGGCGGTGCCCCCTCTGCACCCGGGGAGCCCATGAAGGGCTCATATGCCCCTGGGTGGCTGCCACACGGTGCCCGTTCCCTCTCTCCTCCTGCCCCAAGCTGCTGGGGCCTGGTCACGTCTCAGGCGGGCAAGGAGAGAAAAGCATTCTCCAGAATGAATCTCAGAGGTCCAGCGGTTGGCTTAAAGTGGGGCCAGCCCATCACCTGGCCTGGCCAAAGCCTCTCCCAGCCACTTCCACATCCTCCTTGGATACCAGAAGCTTCACGCTGAGATCAGGTCCCCAGGCCAAGCTCCATTCCAAAGACTCACGCCAAGGCTTTGGAGGTTGGGGTGCTGCGAGAATGGGGCGCTGCGAGAATGCAATTCCAGACCTGTCGTCTCTCCCTGGGGAGAGTCGGAGCAGGCAAGGGAGAGAGGACGGGGCAGGGCCCAACCCGAAATCTCCCCATAAAGTGATTGGGCCCCTTGTACCTCCTTGTCCTCAGAAGACCCCGGGGCCTGCCCTCTCCCCCTCCAGGCCATGAGGATTCTGCGATTCATCACACTTGCTCTGGTGACAGGTACGGCGGGAGGGCGAAGGGGAAGGGCACGGACCTCCCCCTGCGAGCTCCAGAGTCCCCCAGCCCTCTGTGTCTGGACGTGGACGGGGCTGACATTCCACACACAGAATAGCCCAGACGGCACCCGAATGGGTATCCGGGCCCTAATGAGGTCCTTCCTTTACGTGGAATCCCTTTAGATGCTCCAACACGGAGGCGGAGGAGGGCCCCAGGGGAGGGGCCAAGGCTGCCGGGCTGGAGCGGGGGACATTCAAAGAGCGCAGGACGGTGGCTACTGGCCAACCGCAAGGAAAGGATGTCAGTCGTTTAGGGTCCGGCCGGTCGGCACCGCGCGTCCCAGCAGGACACCAGGCCCCGGGTGCAGACTCACCACAACCCGGCCCCTGTGCTGGGAGCCCTTTCACCCCTGAGCCCCCTCTTTTGCCCCCACCCTCTCCAGGGCACGTAGGGGGAGAGACCAGGATCATCAAGGGGTACGAGTGTCCTCCTCATTCTCAGCCCTGGCAGGCGGCTCTCTTTCAGAACACCCGGCTGCTGTGTGGAGCAACCCTCATCGCCCGTAAATGGGTCCTGACAGCCGCCCACTGCCGCAAGCCGTGGGTGCGGGGGCTGGGGCGGGGCCGGGAGGGGGCTGGAGACGGGGAGATGGATGGAGAGAGGCTTGGGGATGGGGAGAATGTTTGGGGGGGGAGAAAGGTGGGGTGGGAGTGGTGGAGCCCTCTTGGGATTGAGGAGAGAAGTATGGGGGGGCGCTGGAGCTGCGCTGGGGTTGGGTATGGAGCTGGGTGCGCGGGTCGGGCTATAGTCTGGAAGGGGCTTCGGTGGGGGCCAGAGGTGAGGACGGAAGTGGAGGTGTGGGCCTTTATTCTCTCGGGCGCGTTCATGTCTCCCCCTCCCCCAGTGCCTCTCGCCCCACCTCCTGTCTCCCCCCGCCCGCCCTGCCGTCTCTGACCACCACCTCTCCCACCTCAGCCAATACACAGTCCACCTGGGGGAGCACAACCTCCAGCGGCCGGACCACTACACGCAGATCCGAATGGCCACTGAGTCCTTCCCCCACCCAGACTTCAACAACAGCCTCCCCAACAAAGACCACCGCAACGACATCATGCTGGTGAAGTTGGCAGCGCCGGTCTTCCTCACCCGCGCCGTGCGGCCCCTCACCCTGTCGTCCCACTGTGTCGCGGCGGGCACCCAGTGCCTCATTTCCGGCTGGGGCAGCACGACCAGCCCCCAGTGTAGGAGCCCCACAGGGGATGTGGCGGGGGCAGGGCGGCCGCGAGGGTGGAAGGATGTAGGAGACCGCAGTGAGGTGGGGGTGGGGGGCTCCGTGGGGTGTCGGGAGCGGGAGCGGGATATGTCATGTCGAAAGGAGGAATTGAAAGTGAAGGCGGGGCTGGCAGGGGAGGTGGAGGCAAAAGTGTGGGCCTCAGAGTCAGACAGACGGGACGCGCGGCCCCAGGTCCACCCCTGCCGCCTGTAGGACCTTAGGCAAGTGGCTTCACCTCTCTCTACCTTGGTGTTCTTCCCTACAAAATGAGGGTGATCACGCCCACCTAATAGGGCTGGATTGGGATCATGTTTCTAGAGCAACTAAGAACTTACTCGATAGCTGCAGTAACAAGCAGAGAGACGAGCTGGCCCTGAGCAAACCCAGGGACGGGATTGAGGGCAAGGCCCCGGGTGCGAGGTGCAGAACAAGCTCTGCAGTGAGGGAGCGGAGCCAGGAGGCTCGCAGTCTCCACACCCCTTCCTGACGTTTCCACAGTGCACCTGCCCAACACCTTGCGATGTGCCAACATCACCATCATCAGTCACAAGGAGTGTGAGAACGCCTACCCCGGCAACATCACGAACACCATGGTGTGCGCCAGTGTTCGGGAGTCCTTAAAGGACTCCTGCCAGGTGAGAGGGCGACGCCCGGGGCTCCAGCCTCCGCTGCGTTTGTCATCCACATCCCCAGCCTCACGCCAGCCCTCCCCGCTCCCCGCTCCCCCACCTCGGCCCCAAATCCATCTTGGGCCCCGGCCCCCGACTCTTTCCGGCCCGCAGCTCCAGCCTTACCTCCAGTCCGCTCCTCAATATTCACCACACTCCCAACGCCGTCCCCACCTCCTGCCGCACGCCAGGCCCAGCATCTTTTCCTCTCCCACTGCCTCCCACCCTCTCTGACTGGTTTTCTCTCTCCCCACCCGCAGGGCGACTCTGGAGGTCCTCTGGTCTGCAACGGGTCTCTTCAAGGCATTATCTCCTGGGGCCAGGACCCGTGTGCTATCACCAGAAAGCCTGGTGTCTACACAAAGGTCTGCAAATATGTGGACTGGATCCGGGAGACAATGAAGAACAATTAGCCGGGACCAGCGCCCCATCCTTCCGCGGTGATGTGGTTCCCGTTCACTCTGTTCATCATGAAACCTGAGCCACGACCCCTTTATATACTTTCTCGGGGCTTTCTTGACCAGCGAGAGGCTGCAGCTTCCTAGGCAACTCGAGTTCGGGATTAGTGAGACCCGAGTTCAAATTCCACCTCGCACTAACCTGTGACTCTGGGAGTGAATATTAACACCTGTTTGTTTCACTGTTGTAGCCCCAGCTCCCAAAGACAGTCCCGATACCAAATCAATGCTAATAAACACATGAACATTTTGAGTGCTTTCTGCATGCCAGCCCCTGGCCCGAGGGCCCTTAGGTATATCAATTAACTGAACCTTCACAAAAGCCTCATGCGGTCGGTGCTATTATAATAATACCTATTTTGCAGAGGAGGAAGCTGACACACAGCGAAATGAAGTCACTTGCTCATGGTCACACAGCCAGGAGGTAGAAAAACAAGGAGTCTGAAGCAGGGGTGACTTCTTAACTACTTAGCCACACTGCCTTGATACTCAGCATTCTTACCTGACAAGCCGTGCGTCCAAAAAGCGCGCTAGCACGCGGCGAGGTCGGGGTGCCTACGCTAGTGACGACTGAGCAAAGGGGGAGCCACTACCCGCAGGTGACTATTTAAATTAAAAGCACATGCAACCCGAAATGTCATTCTTCAGTCTCACTTGACACATACCAAGTGCGCCACAGCCACCTGTGGCGGGTGGCTGACCGCTGGATGGCACCCATCGGGCATCGCCGTTGTTGCAGACAGTTCGATTAGACGGCAGCCTCTGGAACGAACGCACGTCTCGCTGGAGACGTCGCCGGGCGCAGAGTCCAGCGCCCAGGCTCTTTGCCGATGCTCCTCTCCCCTCGCAGGGGAGGTAGCTGGCACAAGGGGTAAGAGCCCAGAGCGGGACCTGGGGCCTCCCGGTTGCCAGGCGGTTGCCAGGGGGATTGGCCATGTGACCTCCCAATCCTCACCTGCGATGAGGAAGGCGGCTGAGGTAATGTTGACTCCTCTTGCAGCCTCCTGTGATTCATGGGCCCGCATGTCACCTGGAGAGGATGACAGGGAGGATGTGAGGTGACCACACATGGGGATGACACGGAACCTCCCGCCCCCAACACACACGGGTCCCTGGGACACACACCGAGCCCCGCGCTCTGGCTGTGGGGCCGGACGGACGCAAGCACAGAGCGTCCTCGGTGTCTACCCGTCTTCCTCCTCCCGTTTCTGTGTTTGTCCCAGTGGCCCCGACTCTTCCCTTCAGCCTCTCTTATTTCTCCGCCTCCCTCTCTCCCTGGCGGCCTCCTGGCTTTTCTGATGTGGTCACCCCAGGGATGCATTTCCCCGTGTTTTTTCTCCTCCCTTGCAGTGGTCACCTGTCTCCAACACTGTGCCCGCCGCCCTCAGGCTACCTGGGCACCCTCCTTCCCCATCTGGGACGATTTCTTGAAGCCAGAGACCTAGGGGCATCCTCAGTGAAATACAGCTCCAAAAAGGGTGTTTCGAGCAATGGGAGACGCCTGTATTCCCGAGGCCGCTCCCAGAGCAGGAATCTGGGGCCCGGGCTGGGTGCCAGCCGCACCCACGGTATAATTACGGAGAGGGAAAAGGAGGGGGTGAGTCCCGGGGGGAGGGTGGGGTAGTTTCCGGGCTTTGCGAGGTTAAAAGGGAAGGCCCCGCCAGGGGTCCCTGGGCAGAGGATCCTGGCGGCCCACACGGCAGTGTAGAGGTCCTTCCGAGTCCCCTCCTCCTCCTTCTCAGCGACTCCCAGGTGAGGCGGGATGCGCGAACCACTACGGCCGGGGAGCCTCAAACCACGGGCAGGGGCCCTGCGTGAGCCTCGACTTCCCTTCAGGCCCTCGCCCTACCTGTGCAGGAGGGTGAAACCCCACGCGCCAAGAGGCTGGCAGCGGGGCAGTACCAACGGGAGGGAGGGAGCTCCCGTCCAGTTTAGGGAGGGCGGGAGGACGCAGCCAGGGGCATCATTAGGATAATTGCGCCCCTTCCCGCTGTTCCAGCTGGAATCGCCCGCCCGCCCGCCCTGAGGACGTGGATCGCAGGTTACACGGTTCTCGGGGTCTAGGGTGGCCCAGGCTAGGCGGGCGGGCGTGGCGGGATGACGGTCTCGGTCAGGACATGTTTTAACCCCCTCCTCGCCCCCCGCAAGCCCAGGTCCCGGCCATGAGACCCCCACAAATCCACCTTTCCGCCGCCTCTGGCGCCCTGGCCCAGGCGAAGCTGCTGCTGCCGCTGCTGATGGCGCAACTCTGGGGTGAGGCGGGTGTCAGGGCTTGGCGGGAGGCGCGAAACCCGGGGCGATGGGAGCGCGCGCTCTCGCCACCAGCCCCCGCACTCCGCTCCTGCGCTGGGCCCTCCAGCACTCCCCCCACCCCCAGGCCAGGGACGCCCCTCTTCTAGCTCCGCCCAGGGTGCTGCGCCCCCCGCCCAGGCCGCGCTCCTCCCGGCGCCCGCGTCCTCTCTCCCACTTCTCCCTCCCGGCCTCCTTTACTTTCGCCCCTTACTCCAGCGGGTGCTCATCCTGTCCCCTGACTCCGTTCCGTTCTGTCCCGGTCCCTTCTTCCTCCGCCCTCTTTTACCCAAAGCCTCGCCTTATCGGCTTTTGCCTTAGCCCCCTTTTCCAGCACGTTGCGTTAGTCCCACACCTGCCCCGCCCCGCGTTCCACCCCCGCCCCCTCCAGACCCGCCCCGTTGGGTCCCCTTTCTCCACTCCGCCCGGGCCCCGCCTTCTTCCCCTTTCACGCCTTTATTCCTCGTCAACTTCCATTAGGTTCCAGCAAGACCTTCCCCTGCCCCCACTTTCCACTTTCTCCCGAGTTCAGGCTGTGCCCCTCCCCGCCCCCGCTCCGTCCCAAGGCCGCGCTCGGACCCCAAACCCAGCCCTTGCCCTGCCCTGCCTGCTCTGATCGCCACCCCCTTTCTCCAGCTGCAGAGGCGGTCTTCCCCGGAAACGACACGGCTTCGGACTCCGGGGCCTCTGGCGCCCGGTGCGCGAGCGGCTCGCAGCCCTGGCAGGTCTCCCTCTTCGATGGCCTCTCGTTCCACTGCGCGGGTGTCCTGGTGGACAAGAGCTGGGTGCTCACGGCCGCGCACTGCGGAAACAACAAGTAGGGGAGCTCCTCGGGGACCCCGCGAGGCGTTGTGGAAGCAGGACTTGGGGGTGGCGGGGGCGGGGGCCACGACTTGAGGGTATGGAACTCTCCCCGCTGAGCCGGGGACCGTTCAGCGGGAGGAAAGACGGGGCTGTGCTGTGGCCGCCAGGGGGTGGTGTGGTCCTTCGCAGCTTTTCTAGGCGCATCCTGAGTCGGCTTGCGTTCCAGTTAGGTGTAAGACAGTTGTGTGCAGCAGAGAGAAGTCAGGGTCTGGTGTGGTTAGGAATTTAGAACGAAAAGAAATTGCTCATCTCAAGAGTCCTTGAGGGAGGCGGGAAAGGATAGGCTTCCCCAGGTAGACCGTCAGTAGAAGTCAGGGACCCAAACACCTGATGGGTTCTCCTCATGTCCCTAGAATTCAGGTGCCAGGCTCTCCTCTCTTCCACTCACTCCTGATCCAGACCCAGGAGTCAGTGCGCCCTGTCCCCCCCCCCCCCCCCCCCCGCCAAGGACTCCCAGCCCCCTTCAAGGATCCAGGCGTCCACCCCACCGCACTGCCTGTTCCCACCTCCCCCGGGACCCTGTCCGGGTTTGGCCTCCACAAAGGCTTCGCCTCCAGGCGCCTCTTCCCTCCCCAGGCAACTGTGGGCTCGCGTTGGGGATGACCACCTGCTGCTGCTCCAGGGCGAGCAGCTCCGCAGAACCACGCTCTCTGTTACGCACCCCAAGTACCGCCAGGGCTCTGGCCCCATCCTGCTGAGGCGAACAGATGAGCATGACCTCATGCTGCTGAAGCTGCGCAGGCCCGCCGTGCTCGGACCTCGCATCCAGGCCCTGCGCCTGCCCTACAGCTGTGCCCAGCCCGGGGACGAGTGCCAGGTCGCTGGCTGGGGCACCACGGCCGCACGGAGAGGCAAGAGCTAGGGGCTCTGTGTCGGGCAAGAAGAGCTGGGAGTCTACACTCCCGGGTCTGAGGGAGGAGGGGCTGGGGGGCTGGACTCCCGCGTCTGAGGGAGGAGGGGCTGGGGGGCTGGGATGGGAACAGCCGGGGGCGGGGGGCGGGGGGGGGGCGGCCCCTGGGCCCTGGATCACTGAGGCTGGGATCCGGGACAACCTGGTGTTTTCTCCCATTAGTGAAGTACAACAGGGGCCTGAGCTGCTCCAGAGTCACCATCCTGAGCCGCCAAGAGTGTGATGTCTTCTACCCTGGGGTAGTCACCAACAACATGATGTGTGCAGGACTGGACCAGGGTCAGGACCCCTGCCAGGTAGGGACCACCCAGGTAGGGTCTCTGACGCGGGGGATGAGCATAAGCCGGTTATGAGAAAGCAGACGAACACATGCTTGTCCCCAGCCCCATAGCCGCCCCAGCCGAACGTCACCTCCATGTCCAGCGCTAACCCATCCCTACCCCAACTTCATCCCTATGCAGAAAAGTACATCAAAGCCTATGTAGAAGTGTTATTTGAGTCAACATTTTGAGGATATGCCTGGAAGCAAGATCTCAACAGATTGAGAAAATGCTCCGGAGAATAGCAGTTTCCCAGTTTATTTATTTTTTTTTAAAGATTTTATTTATTTATTTTCAGAGAGAGGAAGGGAGGGAGAAACAGAGGGAGAGAAACATCCACATGTGGCTGCCTCTCTCGCACGGCCCCGACTGGGGACCTGGCCTGCAACCCAAGCCTGTGCCCTGACTGGGAATCGAACCCATGACACTTTGGTTCCGGGCTGGGGCTCAATCCGCTGAGCCACACCAGCCAGGGCTCCCAGTTTATTTAATACACTCAGAATCAAAGATGAGAAGTAAGCAGGTTCCATGAAATCCACTGGTGGTCGATGAGGGAGGCAGGAGAAAGCAAAGCCGGGAAATCTCTGGGCTGGATCCAAAGTAACGAGATACATGTTGCTTTTACCTTGGTGGGTGCAGGATACTTACCTCTGACATTTACAGTAAATGGTACAGAGAGGGTATGCGGGGCACAAGATAAGGAGTCCTTCCGTGGTCTTGATCTGCTGCCAACTACTGTACCTCCGAGGGTTTTGGAAAAGAAAATATCCTCCCGTTTCAAAGGCATGTTATCCTAGAGGCACAAGACCCTGGGCCGTGTTTGATGTGGATAAAGACGGGCCTTGGCTAGGGGCGCCGTAGGCCTGGGACCTACTCGCGGCTCTGACCTGCCCAGCCAGGGATCTGCGACCAGCCCATCCGATGCGGTCACTCCCGTCTCTGGGCTGGTCAGCCTGCCCTGTAGCCCCCTGAGCTTGCCTGGCTTATTACAGAGCCCCTTTTTCATTCATGTCTCCACGTCCAACTCTGGACGTGGGTTCATCTGCTGCTGCCCGAATCTGTCCGCGGCCCTCCCTCCTTGGCAGGCCATCCTGCACCTCCTCCGCATCACCAAGCCACCCTCAGCCCCCAGCCCATCTCCCTCTGTAGATCCGCCTCCTGCCGCTCACTCAGCGGGCGCTAGACTCTCAGCCGCAAGGCGTCTCCATTCTCCTTGCTGGAGCCGACACCCATAACCCGGGTCCAGCTCCGCCACATCCCACCCCCTTCATACCGGATTCCAGCCCCACCGCAACCTCAGCTTTCTCCCAGCCCCTCGCTCCCCCATTCCTTCCTCAGACCCCTGCGTGGCAGCCCTGGCTTTGGTGTGTTTATTGGACCTCTCCCCCTTCCTCCCTGCAGAGTGATTCCGGGGGCCCTCTGGTCTGTGATGAGACCTTGCAGGGCATCCTTTCCTGGGGTGTCTATCCCTGCGGCTCTGCCCAGCACCCCGCCGTCTACACACAGATCTGCAAATACACCTCCTGGATCGAGAAGACCATTCGCTCCAACTGACCCCGCCGTCCCGCGATGGACCCCTTCGCCCTCTGCCCCACTTCCTGCCCAGTGGGCCGGACCCTCCGCCCCCCACCCTCACCTGCGAACATCTCTCCTCCTCCCCCACCTTCCTGCCCGCCGCTCTTCTCCGCCCACCTCGAGGCCGGAGCGCAGAAGGTGGAGGCAGTGTCGTTCACGAGAGGCCAGGAAGCTGGCGGCCAGCCGTTCTCTGAAAGGAGTTATCAGTCGCCCACCTTGGCTTCCTCTGCCGTTCTTCCCTGCTGGGTGACCTTGGGGCAAGCCCAGGAGCTCCCTGGACCTCTGCGTCCTCCCCTGGAAGGTGGGGACACAGAAATGCCTACCTCATAGATGGGTTGTAAGGAGACTATGATGTAACGTGCGTGTGTGTGTGTGTGTGTGTGTGTGTATCATTCTGGTAATTCTCAGTAAAGCATTAGCACAGTGGATGGCGAGCTGTGACTAAACCTTGTTGCTTGTTGTCATGATGTGTCCTGGTAAGAACATGGGTGACTCTGTCCTGGGGAGAAAAGCACAGAGGAAGTTTCTAATCCTACCCCCACCCTCGCACCATCCCCAACTCCATTCCTCAGGGCCGGTGGGAAAACCGCACTGTCCGCCCCGCTCTGAGGCCCTGCAAAGCACGGCTGAGCCACTTCCTTCTTCCCTCCCACTGTTTCCCATGTCGGGGTCCACCCAACACCAGTCTGTCCTGTCCCAGCAGGAGACAGGCCGGCTTGAGTCATCTGGTACCTTCTCTGCTGTTCTGGGGCCGCTGGAGTCCAAGGGACCTCACCCTGCCTCCATCCCTACCTCCGAGACAGGAGGAGCCCTCCTCACCTCAGTTGATAAGGTCACACAAGGAAGCCCCCCGAATGCAGGGGAAGTTCTCCTGTCTGTTAGACCCAGCTGCTTTCCCTCGCCAGCCAAGAGCTACAACCCCATCTCCCCACGTCTCCCTCTTCGTTCCTCACCCAAGGCTTATAACCCGAGTCAACTCCATCCCAGATCGTCTTTGTGCTTTTGCTCTGAAAATGTGGGCAAATGCGTTCTTTTCCTCTTTCTGAAATGGTCTCCCCTGAGCCTGGGTTTGGGAGCAGTAACCTAAGCCAAGCATATCGCAAGAGAAGTGTTCCATCCAGCCCAGGTTGTTCTTGTTTTCCCTTTCAAACACCAATTTATTGAGCATTTATTATACGGCAGGCCCTGTGCTGGGCTGGCAACATAGCGGTGACCACAAGGCCCCCGCCCTCGCAGCCTGTGTGAGGAAGGCTCTTGCATTCCGCAGGCATCTCCCGCTGACTCCTCCCCCCGCTCCCATCAGCACACCCCCGGAAACGTCAATGAGGCGCATCACACTGGGCCCGGCCCTCCAGGAGCTGCTGGTGGGGGCAGAGAGACAGGCATGCCTAACATCCTTGACATTCAGGTCTCCACTTAAAGGTCACTTCCTCAAGGAGGCCTTCCAGGGTTCCTTTGCGAAAGGTGTTCCCAAGGCACCCATCCATCGCTTTCTTTATTTCTTTTGGAGCACTTGTTATAGCCAAACCGATCTCATTTATTTGTTTACTCCATAATAATCTGTGCCCTCCCTCCTCCCCCACTCAGTCCGTGCAGGGAGGGGCCGTGATTTATTCACCGTGGTGTTCTATGCACCTGGTTTGGTGCCTTGACACAGAAGCCACTCAACATATGGTGGAATGGAAAACAACACAAACTGATCAATGACATAACAGGAAGAAGTCCAGGGCCCCAAGGAAGGGCCAGAGCCCAGGAAGTCTTCTCGGAGGAGGAGGCTTTGCTGTGTGGTTTTAAAGGGTACCATATTTTGCCGTATAGAATGCGCACTCTTTGGTCCAACTTTTTGAGGGAAAAATAAAGATGCGCATGAGACATGAGTACTGCCTGGAATACCTTACATCTGTTCTTGTGTTTGGTAATTATTTGTTACATAAAATTTCTTGTACCATAACGTGCTCAGAAATAAATGCTAAAGTTCCTTTATAGTACAAAAAAAAAGTACCTACATATAAATCAATAAATAATTGAATTAAGCCCTGACCGGTGTGGCTCAGTGGACTGAACGCCAGTCTGGGGACCAAAAGGTCGCCAGTTTGATTCCCAGTCTGGGCACATGCCCGGGTTGTGGGCCAGGTCCCTGGTTGAGGGTGTGCAAGAGGCAGCCGGTCAATGTATCTCGCACATATCAATGTTTCCCTTCCTCTCTTTCTCCTTCCCTTCCCACCTCTTTAAAACTAAATCTAAAAAATCTTAAAATATACATAATTGAATTAAGAAATTAAAAGGTTTTCCTGAACTTTTGGGACAAAAACGTGGGCGTGCATTACACACAGCAAAATGCAAGTCAGTAGGAGCTCACCAGTGACAGAACAAAATGTATTTCTATCGCTCATCGTGTGACCTTGAGCAAATTACTTGAATGCTCTACCTCCATCTCCCCCCACCCCCTCCTGTGAAATGCAGATTGAAAAGACCCTTGTAAGGAGTCAATGAGACAGTTTATGTGCAGCCCTAACAGCCGGGTACAGAGCAAAGGGTCAGTCCAGATGCCCGTAAGAGCAGTTAGTATGGCCCTTAGCACGTAGTCTTGAGGCTCCTGGCCCAGAGTGGAAGTAAGACAACTGCAGTCATTGGAAGCCTCGATATGACAGGGACAGACATATTATAGTTCTTGAATGCATACGATGTGCCAGACACTGTTGTGCTTAATAGTGTGAATTCACTAATCCCCCTGCAACCTTGGTGGCTATTGCATTTCATAGGTGCAGCAATTGGGGAGGTCCAGTGACCTGCTCAAGTTCACGCACCTAGCAATTGCCAGTGTTGAGATTTGGACCCACGTAGTGCAGGTCCAGGATTCGTCCTCCAAACTGCAACAGCACCGTGAGGGTGCCTTCAAAGGGAGCCCAGACCCAGCTTGTCAGTCAGGCTTGTGGCAAGTGGAAAAGATTGTGAGTGCTCAGGAGAGGAAAAGATGGATTTTGCCTGAAGAAATCAAGGAAGGCTTCCTGAAGGAAGGGGCATTTAGGTTGGGTCATGACGGATGAGTAGGAGTTTGCCCGGAAGAGATGGATCTTGAGAAAGATATTCACTCAATTAACATATTCTGAAACCTCCCCTGAGCCCAGCCCAAACAGGGTGATTCTGGGGACACAGCGATGAGTCAGACCTGGGCTCGGCCCTTCCGGGGCTGCCCACCCGATGACGGGGGATGGGGAAAGAGGCAGCAGGAACGGGCGATGGGAAGGAACACGGAGGGGACAAGATATGTGAAAAGAACAACAAAAAAATGCTTTCCAGGCTTAGCCAAGATCTGGTGGTAATAAGAAAAAGGGAAAAGTGCTGAGTTTTAGGCAGGTCGGCCACCTGGGCCGTTGTGGTACGGAGGATGTGAGGAAGGGCGTAGCTTCTGACAAATGTGGGACCACATTTGTCAACCATCACTGTGGTCTCTGCTTCTCTCGAACTGAGCACCCCCCTCGCCCGGCCATCTTTCTGTGTCTCTCTCTCCACCTCTCTTTTCTCTCTTTCTCTTTCCCCATTTCACCCCCATCCTGTCTGCCTGCGTGGCTTCTTCCCCCGAAGTCCGGTTCTTTCTCTCTCCTCTACCCTGATTTCCGGGCACTGCCCCTCTGCATTGGTCCCAGCTCCCCACCGCTGCATTCAAGATAAACTTGCTCCCTCCTCAGGACCCAGCCCTAGGGATCTTCCTCCTCACGCTCTTCCCCGTCCTGGCCACAGGTTCTCCTGTATCCAGATCCTGCATGGGGGCTCCCTCTCTTCGGAGACACCCAGGCCCCCTCCCCCAGTTAGCCAAGCCCTGACCCAGCAAGAGGCCAGCTCTTCCTGCCAGGGGTCTTCCCTCACGGCCTCCCTCGCGGAGGTTTGTTTCCAGGCAAGTCCCAAGGGCTTCCTCCTCCCCCAGTAACATTTCTCAACTCCAATTAATCACAGGGTGGCCCCAGGGAGGAGGAAGGAGATGACATGGCTTACCATAAAGAAGCAGAGATGTCACAGCCGGGCCCCAGGACCCAGGCGCCCAGAGGTCATGAAGCTGGGATTTGTCTGTGCGCTGCTTTCTCTCCTGCCAGGTGAGGCTCCTGTGTCCCTCCTGCCCATCCCTCCGACACTCGTTGGTCCCAGCAGCCTCGGCAGCTTGCCCTTTGCGCCCTTGGCCTTCCGTTCCTGCCCTCAGCATCTCTCCCTAGCCCTCCCACCTGGCTCCCCATTGACCCTCTGCCTCCCACCTGTCCCCAGGGTACAGCTGGGCAGACACCAGAGCCATCGGGGCCCAGGAATGCCACCCCAACTCGCAGCCCTGGCAGGTCGGCCTCTTCTACCTCACCCACCTCTTCTGTGGGGCCACCCTCATCAGTGACCGCTGGCTGCTCACAGCTGCCCACTGCCGCAAGCCGTGAGTGACCACTCTGGGGAGGGGCCGTGGGTGGGAGGGGTGGGCAAGGGTCTCTGGTAGGAAAAAGAGGGGGCTGTAGGCGAGAAGGGATGGGACTCTATTTCTCTTCCCAGAAGTTGACCTCAGAACTACAAAGAGTCAACTTTCCTAATCCTAGAGTTTTAGATAATGAGTCTAAGAGTCTAGGATTTAAAATTTACTCTCTTAGAATCTTAGACTCTGACCCAGAGAAATCCAGAATCATAGAGTCTGAAAATCTCAGATCCATGAGATTCTCCATTAACCTCAGAGAATTATAGAATCCACAGACTGAGACACTATTAGAATCTTACAAGTCCAGAGCAGCTCTGCCAACGAAATATAATGCTAGCCACGTAAGTTTTCGTTTTCTAGTAGACATATTGAAAAGGAGAAACAAAATTAATTTTAATAATAGATTTTTAATATACACAAAATAATATTATTTTACTATGTATTCAGTGTTTAAATATCTATAAATGCCATCATTTCCTCTTTTTAGTGTAAGCCTTTGAAATCAGACATGTTTTTTCCACAAATGACACATTTCAGTTTGGATTAACCACATACCAAGTGCCCAGTAGTTGTACGGGATGGGTAGAGCAGTACTAGAATCTTAGATCCAGAGTATTCTGGCGAGGTTCATCGAATAAAGATGCTCATAGTCCTAGAATCTTTGACTCACACTTCCTAGAATACTGTGATTTGTAGTATTCCAGAATCTTGAAGCAAAAAAAATCTAGAAGGTTATATGCATAAATTTCTAGAATTCTGTGGATTTAGTATCGCGGAATGCTATCATTCCAGATTCTTAAAATCGCCAAACTTTTAATTCAGAGAATTCTAGAGTCTCAACCTTGGTTGAATCCTAGATTTTTTAATTTCCAAAATCACAGATTTGGAGAATTCGAGAGTGATGACGTTCTAGTCTTATTGTTCAAAAATATTAGAATTCTAGGCTCATGAAGTCCTAGATTTAATTCCAATAATTTTATTATTTTTAGCAATAATTAATTTTTATTTTTTTAAAGATTTCATTTATTTATTTTTAGAGCGAGCGGAAGGGAGGGAGATGGAGATGGAGAAAAACTTCGATGTGACAGAGAAACATCGATCAGTTGATTCTTGTACATGCCCCGACCGGGGACAAAACCAACAACCCAGGCACATGCCCTGACTGGGAATCCAAATGGCAACTTTTCGCTTAATGGGAGGGAGCCCAACCAACTGAGCCACACTGGTCAGGGGCAATTACTTTACTTTCTTATTGTATTTTTCTATTACCATTTATTCCCTCCCCCCGACCGCTTCCTCCACCTTCACCCGCCCCCAAATTCAGTTAATATTAAAATCCTAGAATTTTTGATTCCGAGAAGCGAAAACTTCTAGAAGTTGAGCCTCATAGAATTCTAGAAGCTGTTGATCCCTGGAGTGTTAGAATCCCAGAGCACTGGAATTTTAGATTTTGGATATTTTGATGGAATCCTAGAATCTGCTGGAGGGAGAAGTCCAATCTGCTTGTCTCTGGAAAGGGGTCGTCCGTCTGTTCGGATGTTCCTCCCTCCAGGGATCCAGCGCAGGTGCAGGGACAGGGTGCTCAGTGGTGATCTCCCAGCATGCATTGCTCTGCGATGGGTCTCTTTTGGCTCCAGGTTCTGTACACCACGCTAGGAGAGCAATGTTCAGATTTTAGCCTCAAAGACAAAGAAGGAGAAAAGCAGAGACATGGAAGTAGAAGGGATTCAGGGCTAAGGACGAGGTGGGATCTGAGGTTTCCCGGATACAGAGCCGAGGCACCACGGTGACAGAAAGGCACAGAGACAGAAATAACCACACAGGCCTCAAGCCCGGGCTTCTCAGTCATTAGCCTGGTCCCTGATGGGAGAGATCAGAGGCTGGGGGTGGGGGATGGATACATAGACCCCCAGAAAGTCCCCATCTGTCCAGGGCACGGACCCAGAGCAGAGCACACGGACTAGAACTGCAGTGAGACAGGGCTTAAGGTTAGATTTCAGGAGGCAATGCATTGTGGGGTGAGGGATATGGCAGACAGAAAAGGCCTGAGGCCGCAGATGACCCCAAACTTGGGGATTTTCCATATCCCATCCCCCTCCATACATACACACCGGAACACACACAGAGCCACTCCCCACAGAAGCCACCAGACCTGTGGGGGCAGGGGTGGAGCTGTTTTTGTGTTGTAGGTGGAGTCCCCATGTGCCTACGGGGTTCCAGGGGACCCAGGTCACCACTAAGGCTCCAGGTGGGGCAAGGAAGAAGGTGGTTCACTTGGCATGGACCTAGGAAATGGTGTGAGCTTTTGGGGGAGAGCTACCATAGCAGAGGCAGATGAAGGGACAGAGTGGGGATCAGAGGCCCAGAGACAGTGTGAGTCTTCCCTAAAATCACACAGCACACATATGATGAGGTGCCAGAGAAAAGAGGTAGCCTGTGGAGAGTCACACAGCGCCCGGTGGATGGTGGACATTCACCTTGACCTCTGAGGCATGTCCCAGCAGGTACCTGTGGGCCCGCATCGGGGAGCATCACCTCTGGAAATGGGAGGGTCCAGAGCAGCTGTTCCGGGTCACGGACTTCTTCCCGCACCCTGGGTTCAATAAGGATCTCAGAGCCCAAGACCACAACCATGACATCATGCTGATCCGCCTGCCCAGGAAGGCTCGCCTGGGATCTGCTGTGCAGCCCCTCAACGTCAGCCACACCTGCGTCTCCCCAGGCACCCAGTGCCTCATCTCGGGCTGGGGGGCCGTGTCCAGCCCCATGGGTACAGCCTTGCCCATGACATACTCTCTTACGTCCCATCTGGAGGGTCTAAATCCCTCCTCTTCTGTCTCTGCCTTTTTACCTCTATCCCTTATCTATCTATCTATCTATCTATCTATCTATCTATCTACCTACCTACCTGTCTATCGATCCACCCATATATTCATCAAATCTAAGATGCTATAAATTATAAGGTGCATCATTACTTCACAACCCACTGAGAGCGGGAGGAAAACAGTCCCATTGATCCTCGTGTGACGCCATTTACCAGAAGATACATCCTGATTTCAGGATGTTTAAATGTAAAAACATGTGTATCTTAATGTTGAAGTAAGTCCTACATTTCTCAGAGTCACAGACCAACAACCTGTTAGCCAAATTTGTGTCCCACGTTAGTGCTGGTTTTCAGAGTGTCTTGGAAAAAAAAGCCGGAATGTGTTGCTGCCAACATCAAAAACCTGCGAGCTTTCACATAAAGGCCAAGCCTCTGGATTCACTGGTGAAGGACTAGCAATGCGGGGCCCACATTCCTAAAAGAGCGACCGTTACTGGATAGAGTGGAGGTGGCCCCTGCAGACAAAACCACAACAGTCCCCCCACTTCTGTTTACCCATCAAGACCCTGGATGGTTAGGGACACACATACACACGTATGTATATATATACACTCATATATATCTATTTAGGGTTATATATCCATGTCTATCTCTATTTGCTTTAACTCCTTCTATTTCTACTGAATATCTCTAAATCTTTATCTCTGTGCCTACCGATGACCTTCTCCTTATAAATATCTCCTCCCCTTTAATTCACTGCCTCTCACTAGATATCTCTGGGCCCATTTCTATTTCTTCACATCCTCCTCTGGGAATTTCTTTCCCCTTTAGAGGTCTCTAGCTCCTGCCATGGTCTCTATTTTTCTCTCTGCAAATTATACATGTGTCTTCTCGTCTCTTTGCTCTCTGCGTCTTTCTGTCTCTCTCCCTCCCTCCATCCCTCTCATACACATCTGTTTCTCTTTCATGCTATGATTGTCTTTGTCACTGCCCCTTGTGTCGTTCTTGGAGAATCTTATGCTGTGGCTCATGGATCCTCCTTAAGAAAGGACGGGGGGCGGGGGTTGTGCTGAGTGAGGTGGGTACAGCTGCTGACCCCCTGTGGTCTCCCCCACCAACAGTGCAGTACCCGCTCACGCTGCAGTGTGCCAACATCAGCATCCTGGAGCCTAGACTCTGCCACCGGGCATACCCAGGCCACATCTCCAAGAGCATGCTCTGTGCCGGCCTGTGGGAGGGCGGCCGGGGCTCCTGCCAGGTGAGGCGGAGGGAGATGAATATCCTTCTGGGGCCCCTGGGACCCGAGAGAGGATGGGGCCAGGACCGAGATTTCTGGATCTAAAGAAGGAAGGAACTGGGGGTCCGGACTCTTAAGTCCTGGGGAAGGAGGGTGCTAGGGACCCAGAATGCTAGGTCCAAGGGAGAGGTGGAGGCTATGAACTCCTTTGACTCCTGAGTCTGAGGGAGGAGGGACTGAAGACCTGGACGTCTGGGTTTGGGGCCAGTTAGAAACTGGGGATCCCCGGGAAGGGGGGAAGTGGTCTGTGTTATGTCATAATTAAACTGGCCTAACAGTTTCTCTGCTTCTTTTCCCCGTGCACAGGGTGACTCTGGGGGGCCTCTGGTTTGTCACGGGACTCTGGCTGGCGTGGTGTCCGGAGGCGCCGAGCCCTGCTCCACACCCCGGCGCCCCGCCGTCTACACGAGTGTCTGCCACTACGTGCACTGGATCCTAAATACAATGAAGGAAAACTGAGAGCCCTCGTGCCTTGGACGACCTAGAGAGAAAGGCAGACGTAGAGCACAGAGGCTCCAGCCTCCACGGTCTCCACCCGTGGCCTCAGCTGTCCCGAAGAAGCCTTCTAGATATTTAGGCTCCGCCGCCTCGGGATGGAGCAGAGAGACAACTCCACCCTCCTGGCCCCCGTTTCGGACGTCACCAAGAACTGGCACCACCCTGGGGAACAGCATCACCTGGTGGTCCTGCCTCCGGCACGAAATCCACCAATTAGCTCCTCCCCTCGGAGCTTTGCCCAATGAGACGCCCCTGCTTGGACTCCACCCCGTGTGGTCCCGCCCCCCGTGACGTCAGGGGCGCTGGAGCTTCCCCGAGACGCTCGCAAACCGAGTCTGGCTCTCCCGCCTCGGATTAGGGGGGTTCTGGGTTTGAACTCTGATCCGGACCGTCTGGGAGAAGTTACCGGGAGGGTCTCGATCCCTTCAGAGCCAATGGATGATTTTGCAATAAACGCGCGGAACCCTGTCTTCTTTCTGCCCGCGATGTGGGATGGAGGAAGGGCAACGGAGGGGTGGGGGGCAGAGGAGGGCAGACAGGGAACCGCCACCGCCTTAAAATTTCCCTTGAACCCTTAGCCGGCTCTGCCTGAAGCCTTCCTTCATCAGCCCTATTGCAGCAGACCTCCCGGGTTCTGCTCAGGCTGGTCCCGTCACCCCCAGGGGAAGGGGAAACCAGGTCACGGTGCCTCCCAAACCTGCCTTCCCAGATCGCGGACCTCTCTCCGGGGACAGCGGGCGGGTCCGGTCCGCCCTCAGACGTCAGGACCCAGAAGACTCGCCTTTCTTCTATTCGGGGTTATTGGCAGCAGCCCCCCTCCTTTCTCAGTCTCAAAGGCCGGGACTCAAGCCCTCTCACCCCTTGGATTCAGGGGTCCAGACCGCCCCCCGCCCCCGCCGGCCTCCTCCTCATTCAGACCCAGGAGTCCGGCCCCTTCCTCAGGGTTCAGCGTCCCCAGTCCTGCCCTCCCCGAGATCCAAGCGTCCGAGCCCCCAGTCCTTTCTGAGACCCAGCAGCCACAGCACTGAGCTCCTCTTCCTTGCCTCCGAACCTCGAGATTTCAGCTCCCCCTCCCTCAAGAATTTCCCTTCAGCCCCTCAGACTCTCCTCACTCAGACCCAGGGATGCTCCGTCAAGCTCGGGCACGGAGGAGGCGGAGCGGGGGGCGGGGATTTCCAGATAAAAACCTCCAGAGTCCCGTACCCGGCAGATAGCCGAAGTACTGGGGCCTCTTCCTCTGGATCCGGATCAGTAGGTGACCCCGCCCCTCTGGACTCTGCATTCGCGGCGTCTTGCTTCTAGCCCCGGGGCCCCTCTTCCTTCAGGCCCCGGACTTTAACTGCTTATCCCTTCCTCTTTCAAGGGCCCAGGCATCTGAGCCCCAGCCTCCTCCTCCTCAAGATTCAGGAGGAATCCTGGACCCTAACTCCCTGCTCCCTGGGACCTGTAAAAATCCAGACCCCCAGCGCCCTCTCGCCTCGTTTTCGGGAATCTGGGGCGCACCCTGTTCTCACTCAGACCCAAGAATCTGGGCCCCAGTCCCTTCCTCCTGCATGAGCCAGAAGAACAACTCTGGATGCTCTGCCCCCTTCCCAATCCTAAGATATCAGCAGGATTTCAAGCTCCTCCCTCCTTGCCTCTCAGCCCTCTGCTCCCCCTCCCCCAGACCCCAGCATGGGACACCCATCTCGTGCTGCACTTTGTGCCTGGATGTTCCTGCTTTTGCCGTTGGAAGCCAGTGCAGGTGAGGAGCGCTGGAAGGCACTGGTAGCACGCGCGAGCCCGTGGACATGCCGTGGTAGTTATGTGGGTGCATGTGGTGGCGGGTGGGGTGGGCGAAGTGTGCAATCGGATGTGGGGGCTTCCGTGGCCTTGCTTTCCTGGGCGGGCGTGCAGCTATGGCACTGGTGGCAGTGGGTAATAGTGCCAGGTAATGCTGCAAATTGGCATGAGCACGCCAAGCCTGTGGGGCTGCCTGCCAGGGGGTGCAGATACACACGGGACTGTAGGAGCATGTGGATGCATGTGGAGGCATGTGAAAGCATGCAAGCATGCTCAGGTGTGCGACTCTGTGTGATGATGACTCATGGGCTTCAACGAGTGTCCGTGTGTGTCTGTGTGGCATCATGTGCAAGCCAGGAGCCCCACAGAGTGAGGGTGTGTGGACACAGGAGGAGGCAGGCAGAGAGCTCGGGTGTGTCCCTTTGAACCCACAGTGGTTTTCCTCCCCTCCCCCTTCCTCCTTCGCCCGTGTACTTTCTGGGAGGGGGGGGTGGGTAGCGACCCAACCTTCTCCATTCTGGCCGCAGGACACTGGAGGGCACAGGAGGACAAGGTGCTTGGGGGCCAGGAGTGCGAGCCCCATTCGCAGCCTTGGCAGACGGCCTTGTTCCAGGGCGTCCGTCTGCTCTGCGGGGGTGTCCTCATAGACGCCAACTGGGTTCTCACAGCAGCCCACTGTAAAAAACAGTGAGTGGATGTCTGGGGCAGAGGTGGGCTGGACAGGGCCGGGGGGGGGATGAGGAGGTTGGGGCTCGCCCTCAGGAAAGAGAGAGCTGAGGGCCAGCGCTGAGAGGAGGTGTGAGAAGAGAGGGCACTGAGGGGCCTGGACTCCAGGGTCTAAGGGAGGAGGGGCTGGGGGCCTGGACTCTGGGAGATGAGGGGACAGTAATGAGGGGGTTGGGTCCCAAACTAACCCCCATCATTAACAGGAAGTACACAGTACACTTGGGAGATCACAGACTGCAGAACGGGCCAGAGCAAGAAAGGGCGGTGGCTCAGTCCATCCCACACCCCTGCTACAACAGCAACAGCAACAACCACAAGCATGATCTGATGCTCATTCGACTGCGTGATCCAGCATCCCTAGGGCCTAAAGTGAAGCCCATCAACCTGACAGATCACTGCCCTCAAGCTGGCCAGAAGTGCATCGTCTCAGGCTGGGGCACTATTTCCAGCCCCCAAGGTAGTGGGAGGGGAGGAGGAGCTGGTGGGCCCTGTGAACCCCAAGCCATTGGCAAAGCTCTATCCTTAGAAGGAGATAAGGAAGGGATAGTGAGTGTGAGGCTGAGATTCGCAAGTGGCCCATGTTAGGAACCTTGAAGGCTAGAATGTTAATAGGAGCGGAGGGAGAAAGAAAGCAAACTAGCATGCTGTTAAGCAAGGCTCAAGACTCTGGATGGATGGATGAATGAATGGATAAATGAATACATCTCTCCTTTATGGTGGGGAGTACCATGTTATGAGACCTTTGTTGTATAGGGTTTTATACAATCTCATTAATAGACGTGGGCTACAAAGGATTTGCCGTGGCCCCCAAAAACAAACTTCTCAGCACTTTTTTTTCTTCTTGAACCCAAGAATTCCTGGGCCCAGATTGCTCACAGTCCCAGCCCTTCCTACCCCAGGACCCACAGTCTAGGTTTCCGGCTCCCTCATTACTCTGGACCCCCACTGAAGTCCTCCCTCAGGGACTTTGGGGGTCTAAGTAGCCCCATACCCTGCTTCACAGTGAAGGAATTGGGACCCATCTCAGAGAGGCGATGTGATTTGCCAGGAAGCAACAAAGCCGGGGTTAAGGCCCCTGCCTGCCTGACTCTCACTTCTGGAGAGAAAACAGGATGATGGGAAGGCCTGCCTGTTCGTGCATCAGGCAGGTCCGAGCAAATCGTGGCTCTGTCCTTTGTCCCTGGACAAGTCCCTTCCCATCCCTTGGCCTCTGTTTCCTCATCTGCAAAACGGGGATAACTAGCCAGTAAATGTTTAAGCTCCACAGGGGTTCATGTTATATCTGTTTTCTTTCTTGGGTGTTCCTTAGTGCTCAGGGTTGTGCTCCATAAACATTTGCTGAATGATTATGTGTATGAGTGAATTAGGGAATGAATGAATGCACCCTTCCTTCCAAAAGCTGCTGTGAAGGTTCAATGAGATGTGACCATATAGCTTCTGGTACATTGAGGTGCCAGATAGACATTCCCCCCATCATGTTTGTTGCTCAAAGGCTGAAAAGAAAGATGAATTTCACTTCCAGTCATTAATTCAGCACTTCCATGTGAGGATCTGACAGGCACCAGGTGCTGTACTGTATGAGTCTTGATCCTTATGGAGTTGCGTGCAAAGTGGGGGAATTGGACAATTAAACAAATACCTATAACACGAAATGTGAGGTAGAGTTAAGAGCTACCGTGAACTATCATAGATGGCAAGAAGACAGGGGTGGTGTCTAAATTAAAATGGCCATAAAAGGTTTCTACAGGGAGGTGGCATTTGCAAGAAGTAGGATTTAGCTGAGATTGAGAGCCTGGTGGTCCGGGGGTGGGAAAACTGCACAAAGTGGGGCCAGAGGTATCGCAAGGGGGCACATGCAAGCCCTCCAGGTTCCTGATTCTTAATTTGAAAATGACTCAGGGCAAGAAACAAAAGGTAGAGCCCAGTGGTCGCACTCGAGGTGGAAAAAAGAAAGCAGCAAGGACCATGGCTTTGTTTAAGGTGGGGAGAAGTGATGCGCCTGAGACATCTGTCAGAAGCTTCCATATGCATCTGCGGGTTCACAGAAAGGAGATTGGTCCAGATGGGACTGGTAGGGGAGGGTTGCTCTCTCTGGGAACTTACAACCTCTACCCCTCAGAGAACTTTCCGGATGCACTCCACTGTGCACAAGTAGAGATCTTTCCGCACAAGCGGTGTGAAGACGCCTACCCTGAGGATGTCACCGAGGGTATGATCTGTGCTGGTGACAGCAAAGGGGCTGACTCATGCCAGGTGAGTGAGTCCCTAATTAACGGATTGAAATTACTTCTGAATGAACCGATCTGAAACCTCTCTCTTCCTTTGTCCTTTGTCCCATGTAGAAGGCATGGCAGGGAGTGACCCCAAGGAGTTAGCAGGCACAGAGGTCGTTCCCATGTCTATGAAGTGGGAAGAAGATTCAGAGAAGGCCACACACACACATGCACACACACAGGCTCCCCCGGCAGGTCCCACAGTGCAGGGATCCGAAGCATTAAATAGTCTCTGTCCTTTTCTTTGGAGCCCCATCTGCAGGATGGGGCCAGGGAGGGGGCAGTTAAAGGGGGTGAGAGGAGATGCCCATGAAGGAGTGAGTCTGAGGCTAGAGGACACACAGCCTTCCGCTCCCTGTGTGAGCGTCAGTTCCTGACATTTGTGCTGACTCTGCCTGCGACCAGCTAGGCAGCCACTCCTTTCTGGCACCTGACCGGGCTCCCTGGCACAGCGGCCTGCTCCTCTGATGGGTTTCATGGGGAGCAATGTTCTCTTCTCCGTTGTTCAGCGAATGGCGCCCTGGACTTCACTGCTCCTTCAAAGACGTCCCGTCCCTGCGAAGACAAATCTTGGGATTTCCCCGCAGATAAAACATTCTCTTTCCCATTGGCTGCACCTCCAGTCCTCAGGGCCCTCCCTGGCTTTGTCTCCTTCGTGGAAGCCCCTCCCCCCTTTGTCAATGATTGGTCCCTGAAGACCATGCTCCAGTGCCTCTTCCCCATTGGCCAGGATCACAGTCCTTCCATCGTGCTCCTGCCCTGAGGATCCAGTGTGTCTGGATGATTCCTAGAGACACTGTTTACTTTCCTTAGACCCTCCCACTATTTCCCTGTCCGTGCATGCGTGCGTGCGTGCGTGCGTGCGTGCGTGCCTGTGTCCAAAGAACCCTGCTCCTTGCTTCCATGTTTGGTGACTGGAGAATACATCAGCTCAGTCCCCGCTGTCTTCTCTCTGGATTGGACCCACCAGAGTATTCTCTTCTCTCATTGGTCAGGATTCCCCTCACCATCCTTAGATAGTTCGTTCCCTCCTGCATGGGAGGCTCCACCCCTTTCTCACCCTAGCCAATGGTTGGCAACCAGGGGACAATGCTCTTATCCCCTGGCTGGAGGGGACCAATCATGGTACAGAGCTGGTACTAAATCTTGTGTATAGCTGGGCATCTTCGGTGAAACTCTCCCCCTACCCCCGTCCAGGGTGATTCCGGGGGTCCGCTGGTGTGTGGCGGCGTTCTCCAAGGTATCACATCTTGGGGCTCAGACCCCTGCGGGCAACCCCAGAGACCTGGCATCTACACCAACATCTGCCTCTATCTGGACTGGATCAAGAAGACCATAGGCCGCAGGAGCTGCGCCTAGGGCAAGCTTTGGATCCCCCTCAATAAACCCAACCCCATGGCTTGGCTCTTTGCCTGTTTTGCTTTGGCTCTGCTGGGAGGGGTGGGGGGAGGGAATCGGAGCCTCGATGGGAGGCTTGACCGAAGCCTAGACAGACCAGGGCCCCATGGTCACTCTGGCCATCACCACTGTCTGAAGGAACCCCTTTTTCCTGGAAGGACTTGGAGGAAGGGGGGGTTAATTTCAGGGGACAGAAGACACGTAAGTGTTTTCTAACATCCAGTGACTTGCCCTGTGACACACTAGCCGCAAAGAGTTTAATCTTCTTTTACCTGAGCAGCTAAATTGTTTTTAAACTTTAGAGGGAGATTCTTCATTGTTAACTTTTTAAAAAACTTAAAATTTTGAGATACTCAGACTAGGGTGCAGGCATTTTGAGATACTCGGACCAGGGTTCAGGAAATGTATAAACAGCTTAAATATACATTTGTGAACACCCATGAAACCACCACCCAGGTGAAGAAATAGGGCACTGAGAGCCCCCCAAAGTCTGAGAGGTCGAACTCCCCCCGCCCCCCGCCCCAGGAAAAATCGCAGTCCTTCTCACAGCTCCGCGCTGCCGGACGGTGCCTGCGGTGGTAGAAGGAAGTGAGGCACGTGATTGCTGGTGTCCCAGTTGAAGTGTGGAGAAGAGGGAACTGGGGACAGTTTGGGGGGAAGATAATGTGTGGAGTGGGCAGTGGTGAGAATGTCAATAAATCGCAACAAAATGGAGACTGGGTCTGTCTACTGGCTCTTCCAGTACATTCCATGACCTTTGTGCTAACAGCTGTCTCACACATCTTGTTGATGCTCTAACTCCTTTCCCTACTTTACTGCTTCTGCATTTCCACAGTGTTTGCTCCTTCACGCCCTCCTCCATTTCTCTCTCTACGTCGCAACCTTTTAATTCCACCTTCAACCACCAGCTGCTCCATTCTCCCATTGTTTAATCAATCAATCAATTCTTAGACAGAGGGAGAGCAACATTGGCTTGTTCTACTTATTTATGCACTTGGTGGTTGATTTTTGTATATCCCCCCACCATCTTGGCATATCTGGATGATGCTCTACCAAAATGAGCTACCTGGCCAGGGCTCCTAGGATTTCTCTGATCATATCTTCATGAAATAAAATTCAATTGGTCCAAGTTAACTTTTTTCCTTAAGCAACCTCAGAGGTCACTGAATGGCCAATGGTTTGATGACATTCTGATCAGGTGACCCATCCTATCCAATCCGTGGGTACTCGGAGTCATTTTAGGAGACCTGGGGATGAAGTGGATCTCCCCAGTGGGTGTGGGTGTGTGAAATGTGCTTGTCCCCCTTGGCCAGGAGCACTGTCACCCCATCAGTGCTCTGACCATGAGGTCCAGTCTCTGGATGGGTCCTAGAGGCACTGTTTTCTTTCCTGAGATCCTCCCACCAGTGTGCACGCACGCGTGCGTGTGTCCAAAGAACCCTACCCTGTTTGGTAACTGGATTCAATGTTCTCTTCACCAGAGATCGGGAAGGAAGGGTTACCAGCTCAGTCCCCACCATCTCCTCTCTGCATTGGACCCTCAGGGCACCATCCTCTTCTCTGATTGGTTGGGATTTTCCTTCATTGCTCTTAGACAACCTGTTTGTGTCCCTGTGCATACGAAGATTAATTTCTAGTATTAAAATTTTGAGTGGCTGATGACATGGAGGGGAAGAGACTTGTCCAAGGTGAACCTGAAATTCAGGGAGAGAGTGGACTGGGGAGGCGGGCGGAGGATCAGAGCACCCAGGAGGGGACAAAAGCTGGAAGGACCCACGTAGATGGGAGCTCAATTCTGCCCTAGTCAGGGAGCACTTGGGTGCAGGTGTCAGAGCCCCACCCAACCTGGCAGACGTGCAAGGGGCCATTGGCTCACTGCGGTGGCTGAGAAGGCCGTGGGCATGGCTCTTGCTCAGAGGGCGTGACACGGGTACCAGAGTGTCCAGTTGTTGACTTGGCCACTTAAGCCAGTGAGCTCTCTTTTTCCCTCACTCTGCCTGCCTCTTTCTTCCCCTGTTTCTCTCTCTCTGCTGTTTTTCAGCTGTTTCTCATCTCTGCTTGTGTCTTTCCTTCCTTCATGTATCTCATTCTAGCCTCTGTCGACCTAAAGGGAAAATAGAAGCTACAAACTCAGTTAAGCAAACCCAGCAAAAACAAGGACTCCCTTTCTCTTGGCATCTTGATATTAGTCCTTGGGAAGGCATCCAGTGGGTCCAGCCTGAACAAAGCCCATCCCCCCTACCCTTGGCTCCATCATTATTTCTAAGGAAGGTGTGGTGCTCTTTTTGGCTTACGCTGCTTCATGCCCATATGTAAGTGGTGGAAGGGTTTAGAGAGGTATAATCGGCTGTTATGCCAAAACAAATGTAGGGGGCAGCTTCCCTAAAAGTGGGGACATGTTCTTAAGGAAGAGGAATGAATCCAGTAATTCAAAAACAATGGGTCCTCAGAGCCCAAGGTGATGAATCGGAAGATTCCAGGATCATTGTCCCCCGGGGCAAACACAGCAGCCAGAATAGTCAGATGCTAATTCTTAGGTGTGATTATGAGCTATAAGATGAGTCATCAGGCATAAGTCCAGGAGATAAGTCAAAGGACAAGGGTGATACAGTTGGAGTGTGTGGGTAGGATTTAGGAACAGGTCTGCGACTAAACCAAAGGTCACGGCAGGGCTGGGATTTGGGCCTTTTTGTCAACATGCGGGGGTTACATCATGAATAGATTCATGGGATCCTGAATTTGTTTAGCCAACTGAGAATCGGACCTTATGGGGTGGGGGGGGCGTGTCTCAGGACTATTTCCTTTGCAGAGCGTGGGCTTGTACAATGGTGAGACCCTCAGCAGTCCCCAGCTTTCCAACTCTGCTTCTTCTGGCTCCTGAGCTGAATGACTTCTTTCAAGGGACCTCACCTGTTTTAAACCTCCTTTTTCTCCTCTACAAACACAAGGAAGGCAATACTAGCATGAATCTAGGTGAGGAATAATGACAAGTTCTCGCAAGTGTCTGACACATAACACTTAATATACAACAAGAAATTGAAGCTGGTTTATTCTCTGGATGATGTGGCAAAGCAACTAATATTTCTTCAGTTCCTGCTAGTGCCCATCCATTTTTCTTTCATCATTTTATTTCATCCTCACATTTGTTTTGAGGTGTAGTTTTGAAAACTTAGCTTGGATTTATTTACTCAGGATCAGGTCAACGTTAATATGTTGTTATTTGGTAGACAATGTTAGAGTTTTTGTGAGAGAAAGAGTCAAGGCGGTGTGCAGAGTTGACAATAAGAGTTCAGCATGAAAAACAAGTTAGAATTTCAGGTAGAAAGTGAGCTGGGAATTAGTATCGGACTGGGATTGGGAATGGAAGAGCTAGGTCTGGTGTCAGCTGTGACTGGGAGGTGTTTGCAGGGTGAGGACGTCAACGTGGACGTCCTGGGCTGGGATAGGGAGGCAAAGAGAAGCCTGAGTCACGCCAGGGGTCAGGCTTGGGATTACTCCATGGGGACATCTAGGGTGTGGGACAAGGCTTAGTGTGGTTCATCACTATGGGTTCAAGGTTCAAGTCAAGAGTCAGGGTTAAGGTTGGCTGAGGTGTGAGATGTAGCTTGAATTGATATTCAAAGTCAGGAGCTTGTTCAGGAAGTAGATACCACTTTGAGGTAGAAACTAGACTTGGTCAAGAATAAAGCAGTATTGAGGTTTAGGATTAGTTAAGACCAAGGTCACAGGTTCAGTCTCTAGCTTGTGTTGAGATTAGAGTTGACAGTTGTGTCGAAGTAAAGACTGGGTTTGGAGATACGGTTGAAATCAGGGACCGCAGTCCTGCTCACCCTCTCATAAACTCTTGCTAAAATCCCACTGTGCCTTCTCATCGAACGGCAACACTCCATCAAAGGAGAGGTCTTGAAGCCCTAACATCACCAACTCCCTCACCACAAGTTCCATTCACCCCGTCGCTGTGGCCTGTTGATTTCCTCTCCTCAATGCACCCTGAATTCATCCAGTTATCACCATCTCCACCTCCCAAATGGCCTTATCCAAGTCGCCATCATCTTTCACCGGGGCACCAGCAATGGCCTCCTCATGACTGTCCAGCTTCTTCAAATCCTCCTCCATAGCAGCCAGATTGACATTATGAAAATACAAAGGTTTTTTGTCAGTTCTCTGAATAAAGTCCAAACGGTCACCATTGTCCATACGGCAAAGACCAACTCACCATAACCTCCAAGCTGCTTCGTCGTCGGCTTCCGGACGTCATCTGTTCCCTGAGCTCCACCCGGACTCCCCGCCCATCTCAGGACCTTTGCACCTGCTGTTTCTTCTAGATGATAGTCTCCATTTTTATTCTAGTTCACGCTTACTGTTCTTCCCACTCTCAGGTCTTTGTTGCCTCCAGAGTCGAATCCCCCTGAAAAGGCTTTCCTAATCCTCTGCACCTTTACTTCAGAGTGCACATTAAAGTAAATTTACTATCTTTGTATACCAGTGATTTGATTATTTTTCCTTTTACAGTTGCGTTTCAGTTTCTTGAAGGAAGGAACCCTTTGCATCCAGGCCTGTGCACCTCTGTATCCTCCGCACGTAGCCCACCCTGGCATCGAGCTGGTCTCGATATGTATTAACTAAGGGAATAAGCTCCACTATTAGAAACTGGCCGTCTAGTAATAGTCTAACTCTGGTTCCTGTCTCTTACTCAATGCAAATGCCGAAGTTCTACCTGGTCCTCAATCCTCGTGCAGTCCGAATCCTGTGCTACCTCTGACCCACTGTCTGCCCTTCTCTTGGCTCCTTTGGCTCCAGTCAAAAAGTCTTCCCTGCTGGGGCAGCTGCGGTTGCCCCTTTTCTTCTCACCACTCTGTTCACTCTGCTTTGGATTCAGTGATTCCCAAGCAGCTACATGAATCCATCCACCACCTTCTTCCGGATATTGTTTAAATGCCCTCTACACGTGGAGTCTTTCC